GGCTTCCTCTACCACCAAGTCCATGCTTCCGAAAACAAATAATACAGTAAAACTAATCCCATACCCGACTTGGAATGGTAACCGGACGAGAGGCCGTGGTTCGCCATATGGATAAGCCGTCTTATCGGCTTTCCTCTCCCCCGGGATAAATATGTAAATCTTATCCTATCCTATATATATTAGCAAGCAGGGGTTTTCGATTGATAAAATGGCTTTCAAATTCCAAAACAGTATTGTCGAAATTTAACACGGAGGATCGTCGTAATCCTGACTTTGATTTAGATTGTTTGCTCATTTCTAAAGTGTTGGGTAGAATAGACCGAATCATTAAAACGATTGACTAATTTCCATGTGCCTAGACTAGACAATATGTAGGAATCTCGAAAACCGACGCTATTTATGAGATGCATTTTCGCGACGCATCTGAACAAGCTTACGTTGCAGTGGCTCACTTGCGTTCCAAGAAATGTCAGTGTGTGAATTATAGTTTTTTGATGGCCAAATCAATTGTTTCTCCGATGAAATCTATGTCCGTTCCCCAACTAGAGCTGCAAAGTACTTTATTAGCCGTGTTCGATGTTATGAACATTCGCTAATTGTTATCCATAATTGCTTTTTTGTTTTGACGTGAATTTCGCGGGCTTTACTGCACCTGTCACGTGTGGCTCTTGCATCTCGACTTTACGCGTCGTAAGTCGTTCTTGTTATGGTGTTAGTGGTGTGGTTTCGCATTATCTGCTTTACTGATTTTGCGTGTTGGTGGCATTTGGTATCGTTAGGTAGAACTGTGGTGAGGGTATCGTTACGGGGGGCCCATATGACCATCGTCGTCATTTATTGCTTTAATTGTTCATGTATTTTTTATATTCCATTCTTATTAACTGCTTTCTGAATTTAGATACTTACTATTTTTATTCCGATAACGTAAGCGTACACGTTTCCTGTCAGTTTCTTGTCGATTTAGGCTTTTGGAGCGTTATCATGTGTCAGTTTATTTTTTGTTAACTTTCTGGTTATGCATTTCATTCCGTCCTCATTTTGTGATTGTTTATTGATTGTTTCATTTTATTTACAGTCACCGTTTTACAATAAACGTGTGTGCCTAAATCTGACACATAGTACTGATTTGGGAAAAAAATTTCTGGCAGATAAATCTATGAAAAATATAAAAAAAATGACATTTTAACTTGTGCACATTTTTAAATAGTTTAACACTATAATTTGTTGTTAATTCGACGCTATGTTATGGTATCAAACAAATTTATTATTAATAATAATTTGTGAGAAAGAAAATGAGGTATTAAAAAAATCAAAATGTCATGAAATCTACGAAAAAGTTTTATTTTATAATGAAGATAAGGGTGAAATTATTCTGATGAACAATAGTCGGCCCGAGCTTCACGTTCTGTTACACGATCGTTATCGTTCCATTGGTTGGTATATGACTTTCATGTTCATAAAAGGTTGCCTTGTTTCGCATAGTAATTCCTCAAAACGGTTTTTTATCATTGTTATTACATGTATTTATATTTAAAAAAAATACGAATATTATGTTTTCTAACCTGACAAATTGAGTAAACTATATTTGATTTTACGACAACACAAAAGTAGTTCAGCCACTGCCGTGGAAATACTCATACGCGAAAGTTCATTCGAGAAAAATTTGTTCTAACAAAACATTTTTTTTTTAATTTTTTTTTTTGAATAACACTATCTCGCCAAATTCCATTTATTTTAGCCAAAAGATATAAATTTACCCATTCGATCGACGCCTTCAATTTATCCCGAGTTACGCATGGCTGAACACGTTCAAAACCAGCGCGGGCTGCTGCTATTTCTTGTTGCTTGTTTTGGATTGCGTTTGCTTATCAAGATATCGCTTTTCTGATTAGTTTGGCTGTGGAGTTCATACCTAATTTCCTCCAAGAGGAGGATTATTTTTATCTATCTATAGGCTATTACCGTAAATTATGGGCCGTGTACATTCTGACATTAATCATAGCAGGATAAGCTGATATCGGTACCGGTACCTGTGATACCTGGATATGCAGACATTTGCATCGTACCGGTACAGTCTTGACAGTCATAACGCAATACCGTAACGGATTGTGAGTTTCACTGTCTGACTGCTGGACTGTAGCGCGCGAGTTCTTGGTCACCTTGTTCAATATAAGTTAAGGCTAGGCTTACCATTTGTCCCGTTTTAGGCGGGACAGTCCCACTTTTCAACATCTAGTCATGTCATGGTGGCCAAATGTCCCGCTTTGGCGTTCAGCCAGTACCGGTATAATAGGTACTCGTTACGGTACTGTTGTTGCTGTGTTGAGTATCGGTACACTACTAACTGAAGGGGAATGCGTGATTTTTTTGTTTCGTTGTTTTCTGTTGCGGAATCTTATTAGCGAATAATTTCTACAATTTGTTAAGTGTAAGCTGTTCACGCCAAAAGAGTGATTGAAGTTAATCTAAAGTCCTTTATATTTTTCGAACTGAAACTGATATCAGACAGACAGCGCATGAACTATCAATGACTATATTATCCTTGAAGACAGCCGGGGTGGTTTTAAATGCAGTACGGCACACTATCCCGATCACGGATTCAGGGATTTGTGGCTGTATTCTGGAACACAAAGATACATGCGCATCTCTGAAATGAGGGCCGTCGAGTCGAAGTGAAGCTCATATGCATGAAAACGTCAGATGTCTGGCTGGGTATACGTCACAGAAAGTCACGCACAAATCTGCACGGCTCTCAAATTTTGCCTATTTGATTTTCGTTTTTCACCGATGTATTCTGCCCTATATGATTACATATACGATGTATTTCAGAACCATTTTATTCAGTTCAATGTTGGTAGTGATCATTATTAAAATAATGGCGCGTAAATGCAAAAGTCTGTAAATAAAATAAATACTTTTAAATAAGATCAAAGGATTACAGAATTATGCGTTTCGATTAATATGAGTCGAACTGATTTTTTTCTTTCAAGTTTTTGTGAATCCCTGACATCTTTTGAATTGTCGTATAACGTAGTCAGAACGATGCACGATATTGAAGTTTTTTTTCAATAGTTAAATTAATATCGATAATGAAACTTTGTATGTTCGTCTATACCTGTAATTACAACAGTTTAACATAGCATCTTCGGTTATTTAGAACTGAAACTTCCAGAATGCACAATGGATTACGATATCATTTACCTTCGAGAATTTATTTAAATTTGAGTGCCAACAATCCATAGTAAAATAAAAGCCTCGATGCGTCGTTGGATTAAATTATTTTGTCAATTTAATTCTTGTTTTTCACCGATTACGCAAGTTAATCATTTGCGGCATGCGAATGCATCGATGCGGCATTATATTAATTTGATTCTTGTTTTTCACAGATCTGTATGCAAATTATCATTTGTTTCATATGATTGCCTCAATGTGCCATTGAATTAGATTATTCTTGTATACCATAAATTTAGAAGTTAAATATTTGCGGCATATGAATGTATCGATGCGATATTATAATAATTAATTTGAATCTTGTTTTTTGTTTTTATACTAATATAAATTTCGCAAATTGAACATTTGCAGCATATGAATACATCGATGCGGCATGATATCAAATTATTTTGCTAATTTTATTCTTGTGTTTGCCGGCCTATTCTTGTATAAATTACGCAAGTTGCACATTTCGCGGCATATGAATGTCTCATTGTGGCATTAGATTCAATTACTGCTTTATAAACTAATTCATTTAATGCTGCATCGTGGCATTATTAATTTTACTGTTTATCGATTGCAGGTGTACGAAAGAGCATAAATATCAAAATGTAATTTTTATTATCTCTGACCCATTTAATATCGTTAACACGCCATCCCATGTACATTGAAAATGAGAGAAATACGCCAAGCCAAGGTTTGCATCGAGGAATGGCCGATGCGTGCCTGCGTTTGTCGATTGAAATTCAGTGACGTCACATGCCGCAGATCGTTTTTTTGCTATTTCTCTCAAACGCTTCGGTAAATTTTATTTCCTTCGGTGGATTTGAATATTTTTTCTTGAGGAATCCAATGGTGATGGTCTTAGCTTGCGCTTATTTTTAGTTTAATGCGCAACTTCGTTTTTTAGTTTTTTTACTGATATTGAGGGACATCAGCTGCCAGACGTCTCTCGAAGGAGGGGCTTCTCCGATTCCTATTTAAAATAGGATTCTCTGAAACGGGACAAAGTCTCTCGATATGTATAGTGTGCCGTACTAAAATGTAGGTTCTCAATGAGACGTCCCGCTTCAAAATCACAAATATAGGATAACTAGGTTTAAGTTCATTTTAAATCCATAATCAGCATACCAGGCAATACGGCAATAAAATGATTGATAAAAAGTGATTAGAAAATCAGGAAAGCTAATAAAAAATTACACACCATATTACAGTATTAATAATTTCGTAATGGTTGCCAAATTGATCAATTTTCTAATCATGAGTGAACAGTAAAGACTGGAAGAAAATCTTCCAGACTCCTATCATAATATATTGCCAAGCTGATTATATTTGGGTTTAATATCAAATTGCCATTACCACAGTACCGGTACCATACCAAGGTTAACAGATTTGGGTGCATGACTGCATGAGGTGGGCCAGACCACTTCATTCTCCAAATTAGATCCAATTATTGCCAATTTATAGTCCAGATTGTACAGTTGTTGTAATAAGTACCTGGAGTTACCGCTCACCGGTACTGTAACAGTAAGTTAGTATAATTGAAGTAAATTAGGACAATAGAGTATAGGAATTTATTGGTTACCAAGGGTGTAATTAAGAGTTTTTTCCATTCTTTGATATTAATTTCTTTCACAGGATCATTTGTTTAAATTTGATAAATCCTGTTGTCGTGAGGTACAGTAGATGTTGATGCAACCTTAGGTCTTCTTGTTTTGTTTTCATGCTGATGATTGCTTTTTCTTCGCCTCTTATCATATTAATGAATAATCAATCTTATATATTTCATGCTTAGTTTATATTCTTTAGTTTATATTCCTTAGTTTGAACTGATTGGAAAATATAATGTCAGAGCCACCTCCAGATGTTATCCCGGTACGGGCAGTCGTTCGGGGACGACCTTTGATCCCAAAGGAAGTTGATGAGGGTTGCCAAACTTGCTTGGACTTCTTCATGGAAGAAAATCGTGTGATGGTAAACGGTAGCAAATCCTTTACCTTTGATAATGTATTTTCGGCGGACGTGAGCCAAGCTGATGTTTATGATATCGCTGTAAAGCCCCTTACAGAAGGATTTTTCAAAGGATTTCATGCAACTGTTTTAGCATATGGACAAACAGGCAGTGGAAAAACATATTCTATGGGATCTGCACATTCCGCAACTGCTTCAATTGATGATGTAACTACAGGAATTATACCTAGAGTTATTAATGACATTTTTGACGGAATTAATGATCGTCCAAATCATAATTTCACTGTAAAAGTTTCCTATCTTGAACTATACATGAAAAGTTTGAACGATTTGCTATGTTCTCGGACAGATCGGCAACAAATTGTAATTCGCGACGCAGATGATGGCGGTACACACATTAGCGGACTCACTGAACTCGTTGTGGCGAACGTAAAAGAGACATTTGCTGCAATGGATTGCGGGAATTCGCATCGTACGACAGCCGCGACTGCAATGAATTTAGTGTCATCTCGTTCGCATGCAATTTTTACCATTCTTCTTGAAAGTGTCAATAGAGAGGATGAAAATGATAAAGTGTCCTGTAAGTTCCATCTCGTTGATCTCGCTGGATCCGAGCGAGCGAAAAGAACAAAAGCAGAAGGAGAACGCTTACAAGAAGGCATCAGAATTAACGAAGGTCTACTTGCGTTAGGAAACGTCATCAGTGCTTTGGCGGATGAAAACCTACGTTCTGGGCATATAAAATATAGAGACTCAAAATTGACTAGGATTCTACAAGGTTCGTTGGGAGGCAACAGTCATACTCTAATGATCGCTTGTGTGAGCCCTGCAGATTCAAATCATGAAGAGACGATAAATACTTTGCGATATGCAGATCGTGTTCGTAAAATTAAAAATCGTCCTGTTGTGAATCGGGATCCACAGGCTGCTTTAATTGCGTCGTTGAAAAAGCAGATACAAAACCTAAAATTACAGCTTTTGGAACGTGGATTAGAGTATCAACCTTTAGGAGCAGAGTCGATTGCGCCTTCAGAAAGTACCAGTGCCTTGCAACAAAAAATAAAGAAGTTGTCGAATGACAATGACAAACTTACTGAACAATTACAACAGAGCGTAGAAAATTACAGTGAAATGTGTGAGAAAGCCATCGTGACCGAGATGTGTTATGATAAAATGAGAGAGCAATTTTCGGAAATTACTAAATCTGCACGCGGATTACTTGATGAGTTTCCTGACATGTATGTGATAAATGAAGAGAATGAATCTATGAAGGAGCGTTACCAGAAACTTTTATCTCTACATAAAATGATTCTGAAGACTCATCCTATGGGGGCAGAAGAATTAATGGAGACTGCTTTACATGGAAATGACGAAACTCTGGCTCCGAATGAGGACGGTTCCATCCAAGGTGACACTGTGTTGGAAGCCACCACAAGTGTAGATCCTCAAAATATGACGCATGCTATGACAAGCGAACATGCCATGAAAAAGGCTGATTTAGGAAAGCAGTTACAAGAGTTGTCAAAAGCACTTTCGATTAAAGAAGAGCTCGCGAAGCGTTTGACGTCAAACGATGCTCAAATCAGTGCAATGAAGGGAGAATTTGAAGCGAAGCTTCAATCTTTAGCGAAGGAAAAAGCAAGTTTGGAACTTGCGCTACAACAAGCGCAAAAAACAAATGAAAGCCGTAAGCTGAGTGAAAAACGAAGACAACGTTTGAATGAGTTAACAGCTGAAATTCAGACCCTTAAAAAAGAGAAAAGGGAAAAAGAAAAATTGGTACGAATGAAAAACGAAAGTGATCGCTCAATCGAAAGACTACACACCGAAATTCGAGATATGAAACGTAACAGAGTCAATTTGATGAAACAAATTAAAGCTGAGAATGAAAAATTTAACGCGTGGAAAAAAGAGAAAACAAAGGAAGTCAAACAACTCCAAGAAAAGAACAGGAAGCGTAATTTCGAATACGTGAAACTGGAAAGAACGTACGATAAACAGAAGGCAATCTTAAGAAGAAAAACGGAAGAAGCAGCCGCGGCCAACAAACGCCTTAAAGAAGCTTTGAGCAGAAGGGAGGCTGCTGCCTCAAAACGTAAAGCTTCAGAAAAGCGGACCATGGAAACCATAGGACCAAAAATAAGAGTGTGGTTGGATGAGGAAATTGAAGTTCGTACCAGCATAAGAGAGGTTGAACATCATGAAAAAGTGCTTATTAACGATCGTACTGCATTGGCAAAAGAGTTGAAAGAGTGTACAGATTCGCCGAAGAAGCGGAGACGAACATTCGATGCTGAAACTGATATACGAGGCTCAAACAGAAAGCTCGAGATTCGGCAAGAAATAGAATTAAAAAGTGCTCATATTCAGAGTTTACAGAATAAATTATCAGAAGCGAAAGAGCATTTAAACTCGAACACAAAATGGGCAAATATTGGAACTCTTGTTGATGCTAAATATGCTATCAAATATTTAATGAAGTTAGCAGTGGATGCCAAAATTGAGAACTCTCTACAGAAAGACGAGGCCGCAAATATGAAACGGGAACGTGAGGCCGCAGAAGAAATAGTGAGAGATCTTCAAAATCAACTACGACAAACTATCAACAGACATGAGATGGATAAAACTTTATTGCAACAAAGCCATGCGGTTCAGGTCTCAGATTTGCTCGCAGAATGCACATTTTCGAAGTCAAATAGTTTCCGCGAAACTCCCGATAACAGCCAAACTGAAATTTCAAAATATCAAAAAGAAAATAAACTTCTCAAGCAAGAACGGAACATATTACATAAAAAGTTATTGGAGAAACGTGCTTCGTCAACTTCCGCTCCTTCGCCAGGGAAAAACCAATCATTTTTTATGCCGATCAAGCTTATTGACAAGTCTGTTGAAGATATTTTTGAAGAACAAGATGAAACCTTTGAACTGGATGAGGAGGACACAGATTCAGAATACGCACCAACTCCCAAGAAAAAAAGGAGAAGAACCGGTGTTGTTTCTGGATGTAAATGCTCCAAATCCAAGTTTCGTTGTAAAAGTAAGTGATCTGCTGTTTTTGTGGTTGTATGGTTCGTTCTTCGTAGTATCAATGATTTGTGTTTTCCTTTGGGAGAGTGATTAGGCTATCCCATGAAGTAAATCATATTTGTACGAGTAACGATTTACTATTTTTATGAGTGCCCAAAAGAAGTGTGTGTACCAATATAGATGTAACTAATTTTATTCGCCTACTTTACATCAAGTTGTGTAAAGGGACGGAAGCCTATGGGCAGGGATATTCACTTGGCTAACACAGACAGTCCCCGAACTTCTAATAAACTAAAGGAAAATAAGAATAAAATCATGACCTAACAATCATGACCTAACCCTAACTTGGTACATATACTACGGGGTTCCATTACATTTGAACCCACGTACATTTGAACCCATGATAATTGCACCTGTATGCTATTGCACCTATGGGATTTTTTTTGTTTTTCGGATAGTTGAACTCATACTAACCCTAACCCATGGGTTTTAGCACCCGCATATAGATTGAACCCGTGGATATACACATGGGTTCAAATGTACGGTCACCATACTACGGGAGTACCTTTTTGTGTATGAATGGTTAGGTGTATCAAAGATTTGTTTTCACTTCACATAGTAAAGTAGGGAGGGAGTTCAGGAGTTGGCTGTTGTTTGCAACATGATTGAACCTTATTGACTTTTCTCTCCTTTGGTGTACCGTCAATTTTGCAGGGTAGACTTATTAAATCAGGTCAAATCCTTGTTTTGTCACATCGTGGCGAATAATACATCTATAATTTCATTTCAGATTCTTTGTGTGGGTGTGTTAAACGGAACAGCAAATGCGGAAAGAATTGCAGTTGTTCAGATGTCGGATCAGCGTGCTATAATCAAGGAGAAGGAATGATAAATGGTTAGTACATTTAATATTATTTTTGCTTCCCATCCATTTGGTGCACGGCCTGGGATGGTCGAAACCGAATATTTCACTATTCCGAATGTATTCTGAAAAAATATTTTATCAAATATATTCAAATTGGAGGCAGATTCATATGGAAAATTATATAAATCCCTTTATCTTCATGTAATACACATATTTAAAAGGGTGACTGTTTTCTCTTTGTTGTTTGTTACCATTTCAGATTTCCTACGATTAGATCCTCTTGTCTGATGTCTCCAAATTCCTAATTTATTCTTATAGTCCCTAGTTTGTTCCAAATTATTCTAAAATTCAAAAATTTACTATATCGAATATAATAAATTTTATCGCAGTCCGGTACTTGGCTCTTGAATAGGTTCAATTTGTGATTTGTGAATACAAAAACTGTATTTATAGTAAAGACTCCATTTTTTGGCGTAGTCCAATCATAAACAAATCTCTAGATTTCAAAAAGTTTCAATCAGACACGGGTGAGGGGGATTTTTCTGTTTCATACATAGCAGATTTTGGGGCTCCCGAAGTATGCGAACCAAGATGGCGGACATCGGAATGTAATATGTGTACTAGGTTAGGGTTAGGCCATAATTTTAGGTATAAATACTACGGGAGGCTCTTGGCTAGTCTTTGAACTGATAATAGGACTAAAATAAGGAAAATTGGGAAAAAATTATCGCCTAACCCTAACCTGTTACCCATGTTACGTTCCGATGTCCGCCATCTTGGTTCGCATACTTCGGGAGCACCCAATTTTTTTAGCTTGGAACCATTTTACACCCTTAACATTCTTAAAAACCTACATTTTCCGACCTCTGACTGTCCAATTTAGCAATAAGAAAATTTCAGATTCCCCCATCTCTTGAAATTTCCTGGCTTGATCAGACTTTTTTTAAATTGAACAATTTTCAAAACTTTTTTTTAGATGCCGCAAATGTAACCTTTGACGTAGAGGCCGAAAAGTCTTCAACTCCTACATTTCTTTTCCCGAAACTTGAAGGCGGTGATAAGGAAAATAACCCCGATATCATTCCAAGAACCCCGTTATCTGGACTCGAGAACTCCACAAAATATAACCCGGTATATTTCCAATCACCTATAGTTGATGAACCATCTGCAGATTCCCAAACTGAATAAAATTCCTAGTTGTCTGCAATTTGCAATTCTTATTGACATGAACACCAACTAGTATTTACTGTCACATAATTCTATGTTATAATTCCTCATAGTGGATGTTCCCAACCGGGGGTCACATAAGCGCAAAACTGATTTAATTTTTTACTACAAGAAAACTCCCTGTTCTTCCAAGTTTCATTGCTTGATAAGGTTTCTCCACAGCGTATTTTCATTCTGTTGAGCATGAATTGTTGAAACATAATGGGACTAGAGTTCTAACAATCAAAATAACACTATATACCACTGGATTGATAAACAGGGGGGTAATGAGTGATAAAAGCCTACAGAAGGATGCCACGAGCCATTTAAGATTAAGGGAACCACTTCTTTATAGTCTCATTATCTCTCCTCATTCACATGGTTGCTGGTAAATGCGCTTAGATATCAGACTTCTTAATTTCTAAGTCTGGTATTTACTGACGCACAATTCTACATTATATTTTCTTATAGTTTCTGCAACTCTTGGCACTTTCGTTGTCACCTAGAACTTGGCTCGGAGACCATTAATTTCTTAGCATGACCTTTTTTTAAGAAACTTTTCTTAGAAATGTTTTTTATGGCTGAATTGTTTTTTAAAAGTGAATTATGATTGCAAAAAGTTAAGCTCTAAATTACATATGCCCACATTGTTAGCAGAATAATATTTTCAAACAATGCTATGCTTTTATTAAGACTTCCCAAAGTATCCTAACGTGTCAACCAAAATTGTGGCGTCTCAACAAATTCACAATAAACTCCAATTACTGATTGTAGAAAATTTCGGTTCGGACCCAGGTATGAATTACAAAGTATCAAATTTTAATAACAGTAACTATTACATATCAAGCTTTTTTAATAGGATATAAAGTCGTAACAGCATGCTATATTTATCTTCTTGCTTTCCATTGTTCTATTTTTTTTTTTCTTATATAGTCAATAGAGCATGCTCTTTGTTGTTGTACAATCTGTTTGCTCAAAGATACTTGTAAAAAGCAATTCAGAACAAACGATAAGAACTGGTCACACCACACTAAGGTCATCTCTCATTATTGATTCTAATTTCCGCGAATTTTTATCATAAGCATGTTTGTTAAGTCAATCTGCTTAGCTTCTGAGTGAGTGTTCTTGACGTTACTTTGAACGCCGCATCCTAGTCAGAGTAAGCTTCGAATAAGTGATTCGAGGCGAAATGTGTCAGTTTGGTCTTAAGGCTTCTTTGTGAAGGAGACAACCCCAAATTTCAGTGGAGAAGTCCAGTTTGGAGAGATCGTTTCAAAAGAGTTTCATAACAACTGTAACCCCCATTATTCTAGGTTGGCAAAACACAACTAAGTCCATACTTAGGAACTTTTGTATATCCTTTTATTCGTGAAGAAATATTAAAACTGCCCACCACCGGGAGGTCATCTCTCATTATCGTTTCTTATTTCCGCAAATTTTTATATTAGCATGCTCGATGAATTAACCTGCCTTGCTTCTGAGTTGAACAAATTTCCTAAAACAAAAAACAAAATTTTATGTATTTGTGTTGTGGTGATAGCTATTAGCAATTTCACTTATGAGAAGTACTCATGGGTGAACTGTGTGCTCACTTTATTATTCATATATACTGTTACATGTTTCCTATTGATCTTCTTTCCTTTTTTGTTTTGTTGTTGTCAGTGTAATGTAGTGCTCAAGAATTGGTGCTCCTGAAGTATTCGTACCAGGATGGCGCACAGCCTGAACATAGTATGGGTACCAGGTTACGGTTGTTCAGGTTGTGCGTCATCTTGGTACGAATACTTCCTGAGCACCCAAGAATTTGCTTCATACTCATACTTACCGCAGCTTGATTGCTAATGGTGTTGTCTACATCAGGGTGGTCCAAGATTGGCAGCTCCGCGGGCCACAAAATTACTCTTGCATTGTTCACGGGCCATGATAGTGTCAAGAACTTTGCTCGTTTAACTTCGCTAGTTGCCTCAGCATGCCATAACACTAGTCAATTCAGTGACATTAGTGATGCAACAATATGTCAGAAGATTTTTTGGGTAATTTTATGACGAAACAACACTAAATGCGATATTTTAATTCCACTTCAAATGTGACACGGGACACTGATAATGAAGCGGTGGCCCGCGGGCCTGGATTTGGACCACCCTGGTCTACATAGTTCAAATTTTCTTCAGTCAGTTTTTTTTCGAATTTTCGGTGCTCCCGAAGTATGTGCACAAAGGTGGTGCACAACCTGAACCCTAACCTGGTACATATACTATGTTCAGGTTGTGCGCCATCTTGGTGCACATACTTCGGGAGCTTCCAATTTTCTTGCTCAGTCTGTTAAATGTTAACTTGTTGATAGCCTTTACTTTTTCATGGTAATCTGAATCTCCATGATTTTTCAACTAAATCATTCTAGAGTCCCAGATCAAAAGAAATGCAATTGTTGTATATATTGAACATATTATGATTGATAAGAAGATTACAAAATTATTTTACAATTTCGATCCAAACCAAAAAACTTATGACAAATGTTGTGTTCTACTTCAGACTACCTGCTTTAGCAAAGGACAAATATTCTTGTGCCCGTCTTGTAAATTGTCCCTCATGTGTGATGGATGTTATTTCCTGTCCTATTTTTGATGTATCAAACTAGAATAAACTCTAATTCATATGTCTTGTCTCGTGATACTTTGTTTCACCCGATTGAAAAGGTCTTCCAATAAATTGTTTTCATTAGGGATAGGAGAGAGTGGATAAATTGTATGAACGTATTCTGGACAATATTGACGTTTAAGGTTAAATGCTTGGTAATTCGCTATTTGGTCTTTAGTAAGTTAGCATGTGCAAAATAAAGACTTTACTGAGTTTAAAATAAACTAAAGGAAAAGCAGTTAGTCCCTAGCAAGATTTGTGGTGGCAAGCAAAACTGGTTATATTCCAATACTCATTATCCATTTATATTTTAGGGTAGTTACATCACTTAAACAAGACACACCACAAACATAGTTGTGGTAATCATACAAATAGTTTATTTTACCAACAAACAATGATACCGTCGCAAGGTATGTCACGGATGCCGTTATCGACAACTAGACAAGCGCGCCAATCGGTTTGGACTCCGTGAAATCGGCACCACTGGCGGGAATCTTGCAGCAGGTGTACCAGGGAATATGGCAATGCGTTTGCATCTGCTTTTACTGCCGTACCGATAATTTTTCACGGCTATGGTGCTCCCGGCGGATAGACTGATGAATAAGCTCATATGTAAATATTGTTTTATTGATTTTTTGAATCCAACAAATTTATGCGAAAAAGTCAGCACGTGAGTTGAGCTCATACTGTCATACATCTGTACTTTTAGTCGTTGAGTGACCCTACATACCACTGTACGGGTTCTAAACCGATATTACCGGTATCTGGCTAGAACTTAGAAGCAACGCTATGCACTATGGGGGCTTTGCTTATGTTTTATCGCTTTATGTTTATCAGTCACTCTGTGTAATAATAATTATAAATGCTACGTCAGTTTAGTAAGCGATTTCAGATTAAATATTCACATAATTTCGGAGTCCTATATTTGTTAGTTCTCAGTTGTCCGGGCATTCGATTTTGAAGCAGTACAGTGCATAAGTGTCAGGTAACATCTTAAAACGGTAACATACAGACATAAGCAGTGACGTAATTAACATTTTTCTAATTTCAAAATTGCAATTACAGAATTAGCAATGCCATTAAAGCCTTGAGGTAATCCATTTTTCTATCACATTTTTGGTGCTGTGAAATATCAGGATTTAAATAATTAAAATTTTTATTGCCTTATCAACAATAACTTTTTAGTAAACCTCCACAGGACTCTGTTTTTATTTCACATACAATGGAAAATATATGAAAGTTTTCATCACCCAAACTTGGTAATTGCTGTGATTTAGCCATTCATTTGTTTAGCAGGTTTATAAATGTAAAAATATAGGCCATAAAATGCCGAAAACATTGCTTCATTTTTTCTCCCCAAAGTCGGTCAAAAAAGAAGAAAATGGCACGAGCTCACCAAAATCAAACTCTGGGACTCCATTGAAACCAAAAAACACGTTTTTAACCCCAAAATCTGAAGGAAAAATTCTATCAAAGAAAACCTTTCTAACCCCCAAATCTGAAGGAAAGATTCCTTCAAAGAAATCACCATTTTTTTCTCCTATGGTTCCAGCAAAAACGATTGAATGCAATGTCTGTGATATTGTTTGGGCTAAATTAGATGGTTACCCATGGTGGCCTAGCATAGTTTGCAATGACCCCACGGACGGCGTTCATGAAAAAATGGAAAGAAAAAAGAAATTTATTCATGTTCAGTTTTTCGACAATCCAGTAACTCATGCCTATGTAGAGGCAAAAAATGTTGAATTATATAACGGTTCTCAATCTCTTGATTTTCAAATTGGTGGAAAATTCTATAGTTCAGATCTAGATGTCATTGAGGCCACAAAAAAGGGGGATGAGGCCTTAAAAAAGGGGGTGGAAGGCCGTGAAAAATTGCTTGTTAAATTTGAGGACAGTTTTGACGATTTTGCTGATGATTTAGATGACGTGTTAGCTGATGCGTGTGACAATTCTGTTGCTAGTAGCAACAATGAAGTTTCCATGGAGATTGAAGAGGGAAAAAGACCGAAACGAAAGGCGGTAAAAAAAGCAGCTAGTAAACGACGCAGAATTGAAACTCACTCAGATGAGGATGATTGTGTTTCAGAGGAAGATTTTGATCCGAATAAAGAATCCGAGAGTGATGAAAGTGATGGAGATGTTGGAGAAGAATCTTCCGATTTAGCTACTGAATCCGAACCTGACGATTCACCAATTAAAGATTCTCGAAAACGAAAAAGAAAAGGTTCGCTTCCCGCTTCAAAAATATCAAATACACCTAGTAATCCGAAACTTGCTGCTTTTAATCCAACTACCAGTACGACCTCTCGAACTCCGCTTGTGTGCCAGCAAACAAAGTCACGATTATCATTATTCCAAGCATCAGAGACAGAAGGATCTATGGGAGATGACTTAGAGACTACAAAGTATTTACATGAGACATTGGAGTTTCTTTTTCCAGAGAATTTACGAGATAAACATGGTAGAAAGACGGGCGACCCTGATTATGATTCAACATCATTGAAAATTCCGCAAGAGTTTTTAAAAAAATGTACGCCTGCTATGTTCCAATGGTGGAAATTAAAAGTAGATCATTTTGATGTAATATTTTGTTTTAAAGTTGGCAAGTTTTATGAGTTATACCACATGGATGCCGTGGTAGGAGTCAATGAATTGGGACTCATTTATATGAAAGGGTCTTTTGCACATTCTGGATTTCCAGAAGTAGCATTCGGTCGTTATTCCGAATCGCTCGTACAAAAAGGTTATAAAGTTGCTCGTGTGGAACAAACGGAAACGCCGGAACAAAATGCAATTCGAATCAAAAAGGAAATGCCGTCAAAACAAGAGAAAACATTAAGAAGAGAAATTTGTCGAATTGTAACAAAAGGAACGCAAAGTTTGGGATCCTGGCCAGGTAGTGGCAATATGCATAGCGGGAATAATTTTCTTTTAGCTGTCACTGAAAAATCTTCAGGAGGAAATAACTTCCAAGAAGGAGTGAATTCTAACGTGTGTCGTGAATTTGGAATCTGTTTTATCGACACTTCTGTTGGTTTGTTTCACATCGGTCAATTTATGGATGATCGCCACTGCTCTGCTTTGTGTACTATGCTCTCTCACTACACCCCTTGCCAGATTTTATTTGAACGTGGTCACCTATCAGCTTCATTGCAGAAAATTCTTCGCTCAGGACTTTCCTCGATTCTTCAAGAGCCATTACTACCAGGAACTCAATTTTGGGACGCAACAAAGACAATAAAATTTCTCAAAACGGAGGGGTATTTTGAGAAAAACGGGGAGGACGAATGGCCCACTGCTTTAAAAAGTATGATGCAAGACGCTGAAGCCGTCAGCTTTTCAGCAGCAAAGAATTATGAGCTAGCGATTAGCGCGTTTGGCGCTTGTGTGTTTTATCTTAAAAAATGCTTGATTGATTATGAAGTCATCTCAATGAAACAGTTTGTTGAGTACAGGCCCCCGAAAAGTGGAGATCCACAAGATGTTGCTCAAGAGCTTGAAGATGCTGTTGCGAATTTTGCAAAAGGCGATAATAAAATGATTCTTGATAGTGTTACTTTAGCAAACCTGGAAATTTTGGAAAACACCAATGGAGGTACTGAAGGGACTTTAATTGAGCGATTAGACCACTGTCATACTGCTTTCGGTAAGCGTTTGCTCCGCCAATGGCTCTGTGCACCCCCCTGTAATCCCGAAGTTTCCTCAGATAGATTAGACGCTGTTGAGGATTTAATGGGATGCCAAGAGTTTATATCAGAAACCAACGAGGTCCTAAAGAAGGTGCCTGATTTAGAAAGAATGTTGATGAAAATTCATTCTCTTTCGAAAGATTCGAAAAAACCTGACCACCCTGACAATAGGGCTGTTCTTTACGAGGAAGACAAATACAGTAAAAAGAAAATCGAAGATTTTTTAACAATTTTACAAAATTATGAATGTGTTCATAAATTACTAGTAAGGCACCAAGATTTAGTGAAAAGTTTCAGATCCTCTTTGCTACAAAAAATATTGGGTTTGTCCAGCGGAAATGGAAATTTTCCGAATATGTCTGACACTTTAAAGCGCTGGAAAACAGCTTTTAATCACACAAAGGCTGTTGAAACAGGTAAAATAACGCCTAATCATGGTGCCAATCCAGAATATGACTCAGCATTAGATGAAATTGCTGATATACAAGCGAAACTGAATAGCTATTTGAAAGAACAAAAAAAACATATTGGGTGCTCGAGCATCGTTTATAAAGGAACTGGAAATAAACGTTACCAATTGGAAATGCCAATAGACGTGGCGGATCGGAAAAATTTATCCGGTTATACAATATCAGGTCAAAGGAAAGGTTTTAAGAGTTTTCGAACTGCTGAAACGGAAGAGTTTTTGAAAGAAATGGAAGCCGCTGAAGCGCGACGAGATTCTGCACAAAGTGAAACCATGGCGATTATATTTCGTGAATTTGATCAGGATTTTGCGATGTGGAACAGCGCTGTTCAGTGTTTATCTATATTAGACGTATTGCTCAGCCTAACAGAGTATTGCAAGAATAGTGAAATTCAAATGTGTCGGCCTATACTGTCTTGGAAAGGTGCCAATACCTCCCCATTTTTGGATATTTCAACAGGAAGGCATCCATGCGTGACTCGTACATTTTTTGGAGATGATTTCATCCCTAACGATACTCTTCTCGGTTGCCAAGGTGATGATAATGATGTCACAAACAATCCAAATTGTTTGGTCCTCACTGGCCCTAATATGGGAGGAAAATCTACTCTAATGAGACAAGTGGGACTCATAGTCGTGCTGGCACATTTAGGGTGCTATGTTCCTGCTGAACACTGTAGGCTGTCACCAGTCGACCGTGTCTTTACAAGACTAGGGGCATCAGACCGTATCATGTCTGGCGAAAGCACATTTTACGTCGAATTGAGTGAAACTTCAGCGATTTTGAAACACGCAACCAAACATTCTCTCGTGCTATTAGATGAGTTGGGCCGTGGCACAGCGACTTACGATGGCACTGCGATTGCTTTAGCCGTCGTTCGAGAGATTGCTGCAAATATAAAAAGCAGGACTATTTTTTCAACTCATTATCACACTGTTGTTGACGATTTAAAAGCCAACGCAGATGTGAAACAAGGCCACATGGCTTGCATGGTAGAAAATGAGGACGCCGACAACGAAGACCCGTCTAAAGAAACTTTAACTTTTCTGTATAAATTGACCGATGGACCATGTCCGAAAAGTTATGGCTTCCATGCAGCACGATTGGCTGATGTTCCAGAATCCGTGATCACTCTAGCGCGACACAAAGCAGCAGAGCTTGAAAGTAACAATAATAATGTGTCATTGTTCAGATCTATCTGTCAGGGTAATATGCCCGAAATGAACAATGTTGCTTTGTAACTCACTTAACCAAGGCTTAGCTATAAGCTGGGAATGTAATAACTTGTGTCAATCGGTATGTACTTGGACATTACGTACCACCCTAATTCTACATGATTCAAGTGGATCTTGGAGTTTCAGTGGTGCTCTGTAATTCTGCTTAGAGATGTATCTCCTTTCATTTGAGCGATTGTCCATGTCATGAACCTGCTTTGAACTAGTGATACTGGAAGCAAAATATCTGCTTTTATTATTTTAGGAAGATTCAATTTGAGGACATAATAACCTCAATTGGCAGCTTAAGCATTTAAAAATACTTGTGTTCTTTATTTTTGGGGACATGTAAAAACAATTGCCATAGCAATTGCCTAGGTATAGATATTTCATTTAATCAAAATTAGTATAACCTGAGAATCATGGCATATCTCACCTGGTTCAAGTATAAGAATAAACGACTGAGATATTCAGTTAACTATATACATAAACATGGTTAGTGTAGAATGTTGTAATTTGGCAACATTATTCTCAAACATTTCTAATTACATTGTATTTTGACTCCATTAATTGAAGAATTTTTTAAATACGGACATGACTTTTATTCCGAAACCTTCGAAACCACAGTTTTTGTTGAACGTGAAATAACTGAACCTATATTTGACATGGACTGGTAACCAAGAGGTCGTGGTTCGATGACTTTCCTCCCCCCAGGATAAATTGAAAATCCTATCCTAACATCATATTGGGTAATTGTCCTGTTTTCTTTTACCTTTTTTTTTACAGTCTTGTGAGCAGTTTTCAACTCTGTTCTATTTTCCACAAGTTTCATTATGTCATGTTTTTGCTTCTTACATTTGAACAAGCATTCACACACAAACCTCTAATCAAAACAAATTTTTTTGGTTGGTGCTATTATGGCATGAGATCTAAGCTAGCACTATAAAGTGAGGTCTGCCCCTGCATTTTCCATCCCTGTTAGATATCACTTATTTCCATTAGTAACCATAAAAATATATGGCGGTAGATCTTACATTTTGGTGTCACATCATTTATATCAGAGGTTCCCAACCAGGAGCCCCCAAGGGGGTCCCAGAGTAGTTGGGGAGGGGCCACAATGCCAGGCACAAAACTAATTTTACTTTTTTTTTACAAAAAACTTCCTGTTCTCCATGGTTTCTTTGTCTAATAAGGGTATTTCACAGGGTGTTTTCACTTTGTTGAGCATGAATTGTTTGGAATCAACTAATCGAAACAACACTGAATGCCACTTGAATGATAAACAGGGGGGCTATGGGGGTGCTAAAAGCCTACAAAAAGGAATCACGTGTCATATAAAGTTTGTATAATGAGATGGGAATTGTGAATGGAATGGCCTCGCCTATTGTTGTGATGATGAACCAGTTAATAAACTGAGGGTGCACTGTCACAGTTCAGGGGTGGCCAACTTTTTTTCGGCGCGATCAACTAAAGTTTTCAAAATAGCTCGCGATCGGTGATTAGGTTATACACATGAATGAATATGCAGATATCTACACACGCTCATACAATTCCACTGCTGCCAATAAGCAGGGTTCTGTGGGCGCTTTCTACGATATAAAAGAATTGTATTTTTTATGTTTCGTTTAATTTTATAGTATATGTATAGTACCCAGAGTAAATTTGACTTCACATAACATCGGACGCGATCGACTACCCAAGACGCGACGGTCTATCACTGTGTTGGCCACCCCTGTTATAGTTTATTGAAATCTTCTAGTATAAATTCTGACCACTCTGGATATTAAAATTGATTAATTTTGCTAAATGTTTTGTGAAATAATTATTATTTTTTTATTATTTCTGCTTGCCATCTAGTACATATATTTTCCTCATTTAAGAATAAATAAAATTGCTCATCTAAGAAAAAAATTTCACACGTTTTGGTGCATATATCTTGAACATTGTTCCCATCTTAACAATCTTATACTCTGAAGTCCTGTTGCCATTAATATTCAAACAGTGAACTTTTTTTTTTGTGTTCAAAAACTGCCATCTTGAAACATCATAGTTTTTGTAAATTTCTTAATAAAACTTACTTATGAGATCTTTGTCGAAATATTAAGGGTTAGATATTTAAAGATGCCTGTAAGATTGATATTCAAAATAGGCTTTCTCTTGTGCTATATTTGAAAGAGCATTTCCCCAAACTTAGCAGCAAAACTCTTACCAGGCAAGGGGTGATCATGGCCACTGCACACATAAGTAATCCATCCAAATGAGAAAGGAGTTACCAGCCTAGCCCACAATAAAAAGCAAATTCTGAAGCGCATTAGTGACACAAATTTTTGGGTAAGAGAGAAAGGTAACCGCGCCATAAAACTTGTGCTGCAATTGCAGGTATTGTCTACTCATGCCAGGGGGGAGGTATAGATGAGAGGGACATATTTCTGATCTCTGGAATAAGTTGTACCCAGTTTAAAAAGAGTGCTAATAAAGAGACATAACTAAAATAAGATTGAGGTTGAAACCTGTTTTGACCATCATTATTGCTTAAGCGCATTAACCAACTGAGAAAGAGTTTCACCAAACCTTGTATAAAAAATCGAGGTTTGAAAATATTCAGTGACTAGACAAATTCCAGCGACAGAGGGGAACTTGTTATAAAACACGTGCTTGAATGACCACAGAATACCACCTAGTTCTAATGGAAGTATTGCCTCATTTATGCCAAGGGGGAGAGACGGCTGAACAATAGTAGGACATATTTCTTTGGGGAAAGGTGTAAATGCCTGAACAGTGCTAATAAAGAGACATAACTGACATAAGGATAGGGTTGTTTAGCATGGCCATTGCTTAGCCCTGAACTAGACTATGATGGAATCTCAGTTTGAAGATGTCGAGCAGAAATATTTCGATACTACCAAGAATGCTAGCTCATGGCTGCTTGCCTTGAGCCTTGTTCAAAGTGAAAACTCAAACTGACAGTTCACAAGATAATTTGATCCCTACTTGTGGTGTAACTCAGTCAGCTTTACTGTGCTAAAGACAATAGCCTAAAAAATCGCTTTGTAGGAGAGTCAAACGTAAATCAATATATTTTGAAAACAATTTTCAATGCATCAGTGTTGAAGCATGAAACGGACGGAACACCACTATGGCCATCTGAATAATTGTCCGAAATGAAAAAAAAAATAATTTAAATGATTGTTAATCTATATGCTTTTCAAACTTTGTAAACATGTAGGCATTAAAGATGAGCGAGTTGCAGCACCTCGCTTGGGGAAGTGATACAATATAACTAACAATACAAGGAACATATCATAAGTGACAAAGTCAAATATCACTAAACAGTACCATGCCCATGCGTGACGAACCATTACAAGATGGGTGCTGGATTTTAGAGGTTTTGCGTACTCGAAGGTTTTCGTTATAGAATTTGATTCAAGTTCCGTGCTGTGGTAGGATTCTTTCCAACCCAGTTGAATCTAACCTAAAATCTTTTCAACCGGAATCGGATTATTTTCCTGATTCCAATTTACGTGTAACACCAAATTAGTGAGACAGTTCTGAACTCATAATAGCACTAAAATCGGAAAAGATTATGAACAAAACTGGTACACACACTACGAGAGTACCTAATATTGTACAAAGCTCAAGATAACTTTGTATTATAAGAAACAAATCTCGCATTCATGGGGTTATCTGGACATTTTTGCCAGTCTTTCTTTAACATTTGCTTTAATTGCGACAGTCTTAAATTTGGGTTCTCTTTTTTCAAACGAGGCATATTTTCTTCTTCAAATTTAGTATACGCTGCTTTCATACGTCTTTCGGGGTGACGCTCTAATTCTGTTGCAACGGATAAAACAGAAATAGCATCTTCTACACTTCGTGCTTCAATGACTTCACCCTGGGCAACCAAGTCTCCAACCAGTCTATTAACATTTCCTTCAACTTTTTCTGAATCGTTTTCTTTCTTCTGAGAGTTTATTTGTCTTTCTTTTTCCAAGCGTTCAATTTCGGCGTTAGCGGCTATTTGGGCTCTCGTTAATTTTTCATTCTTTTTTACTTCGGTTTTCTTAGATTTAAGGCTGTCCATTTCAGCATTATATAATTCCTCCTTTTCTTTTTTTCGGTTCAAATTTTCAGTTCTTTTCATCTCTTTTTCAGCTTTTCTTTGTTGTTTCTTTTGAAGGCTTTTATTATCATCAGCCCAATATGCATCTTCTACTGCTTTTAGTTTTTGTGTCTTCGCTTCATTAGCAACTGCGGCCTTGCGAGCTCGGGCCTCAGATGATTTGCTGTTTTCGCCTCTAAATTTTTTCGGCATGGCGGTGTTTCTGAACTAAATATATAAAAAAGATTGTTAAAAAGGTGCAATACCATTTCATGTTTTATAACAAATAATAGGAAATAATAACACAGTTGATGGCTGATACATCATAAGTGACACATCATCATCACCTATGAGCTATGAAAATATAACTAAGAATATTTTGGGAAGATGTCTTCTCTTTGGGTTTATCAAAAACAAAATTACAAAGTAGAGAATAAGGAGATTTTTAAATATACAAAATATGGAAACTGATATCCATTTACTTTTTTTTAACACGCTTTTATGAAAGAAAAACATTCAATTTATTCAAAAATTACCATATCATCATCCTCTAGAATTTCTTGCAAGTCACTAGTTTCATTCGTGCTATCTGCTAGGTCTATTTAAAGGGGAGAGCTTATATTGAAATTGTTTTTAAAATTCAGTCTAGGTCTTATTTTCAGGGAGAAATGGTACATGGCAAATAGAGGCCATTGTTTTAGTGCTTTACCTAACTTTTCTCCTATTTTTAATAAATATGAAAAATCCCATGCATGACAGGTTGTCTCTATCTGCAGATCTACTGACTGATCAAGTTTTCTGTAATCAGTTTTATTTATTTGTTTTACCAATTATTTTATGGTCTATTATGGTGTCGAAATAAACTTAATATGCATAATAAATACTAACTAACCTTCAGTTGTTTCTATGCCTCAGCACATCAGTACCACATCAAAAGGCTGAAAGACAACAATCAAATCCCAAAAGGCTCCGATTCCGAGCGTTTCAGATATGAGAATACTGATCCCTTGTAATTTGACAAGAATAATTTATAGATGGGTGGCGCTATTGAGGCGGGTTGAAAGTTGGTATCTCTATCGTCCTCTGACTCTTGCGTGGGTGTTCATTTCGAGTTTTCAACTCCGTAATTTGTGTATTTTTTGTGGTATCATAATCACTGAATATTTACCGGTAATCCGTCAGTTTGGTAAGGATAACCATAGTGGTACCGTACCGCACTAGCCATAAATAGGCATATGATCGAATTTTTTACATGAATGTATTGTTTGTAAAGCGAGCATGATGTGGTGGTGTCAACCACAGACTGACAGAGGAAAGTGTAATTAGTAATTACACTCGTTTCGCCTCTCGCGTTCGGTTTTATGGTTAGTGCTGGCTGATGTTCGCTGGTCTTGATTATGTAATTAATTAGAAGACCGTATTACAGGGCTCAAGATAAAATAAAACATTTGAATTACAGCTCACCTGAGTCAGCATACATTCCCAATTTATTTTTTCAAAATACATTAGGAATCATCAACTAGGTACCGATACCATGCCTACTGAACTACGGTACCGTATGCTCCTCCAGGTATCTCTGCATTTTTTTGTCTGTCTACTTTTTGCAGTTTTGTGCTGTTTTGTTTTTATGTCAGAGTACCGAAATGAATGAATGATGCTATGTGTGTTATTTCAAGCATGTTTCTTATAGGCCTACCTTCAGAACTCCAAGAAGGATACACCATTACAGAAATACTATATCACTGCAGTGCCACAATTCCTTTTTTCACTTTAGTAATTTAAATAGAGAAGTTAGACATAAGCTTCAAGATGGAAGCGTTTTCAAATTGGTTTTGGCAAGATTATTTTTGGTTACCTCAAGGAGTGTCCTTCAGAGATTTGAAAGATCGTCCAGGATTCGTTTATGCCAAACCAAGGGATTTATTTTACGTTCCAGTTGTCGGACTTGGAATTTATTTTATTAGAATTATATATGAAAGGTAATAGAAAATAATAAATACTGAAATATGGCATTTTCTGTTCTAATATGACACCTTTATCTTTTAGCAAAGCCTTGTGCCGGCCACAGTTGTTCTGGCAACAGTCACAGTATATTCAAACTGTGGCTGTGGATCAGGAGCTTCATTTTTTCACTTCAGAACTAGGCTCAGGCCTCCATACCAATTGAGGTTTTTAAATATGAAGTATCTGTCCTAATTCCGTTTCATGGAAGCTGGACTCAAAACTAGAGAGGCGCAGTTCTTACCACTTCATGGCAGCTCCTGCCACGAACGAACCGCGGCAGCTCTTGCCATGGTTTTATAGCGCTATTCTGTATTCAGTAATCAGTATTAACGGTATATTCACAAACTAATGTACCAAATTCTAATTGATCATGCGGAATTATATCTACTTAAACCCTAACCCTAACCCCAAATCCATCAAGACTGTATCCATAAGAAAAACGTTCCAACTTACCCAATATTTGTCACCATAAGAGACAGCCATGTCCTTACGGCCCACCTGCCGCGGTTACGGCAGCAAAATTTCACCTGCCATTGGTTTTTGGTTTGTGGTTTGGTTTGGTTTTGGTTTGTGGCAGCTAAAAAGTCAGTCGCGATAGGTTTGGCCGTAGCGGCCATGGTATGGAAATACCGCCGTGGTTTTGCAGCAGCTGCAGACGCCATAGAATACTTAAAACTGCACTTGAAACTAGAGGCGCAGTTTTTACCACTTCCTGGTAGCTTCTGCCACAAACGTATCGCAGCATTTCTTGCCATAGTTTTATCGCGCTATTATCTGTATATTCACAAAGTCATGTACAATATTTTAGTTTATTATGCAGAATTATATACACTTAAACCCAAACCTAACCCCAGATACATCAAAACTGTATTCATAAGCAAAGCGTTCCAACTTACCCAATATTTATCACCATCATGGGCAACCCTGCTTTTACAACAGACATTTTGTGATTATGGCAGCAAAATTGGTGGTATTCGATTGGTATCTGTTGGTATTTTGTTTCGCTGTTGGTTTGTTGCAGCTAAAAAGTCAGTCGCGTGGGTTTGGTCATAGCGGCCATGGTTTTGCAGCAGCTCTAGACGCCACAAAATACTTGCAAAACTATGATAGAGGGTTTCAATTTTCAAAATAAAAAGTTCAAATATTTAAATTGAATTTGAAACTTTCAAATTAATATTATAAATTGAGAAAGACAATAGGACAGCTTAATCATGTTGCGAACCACGGCCTCTCGTCCAGTTACCAGTCCTTGTCGGGTATGGGATTAGATAGTTATTTGTTTTTGGAAGAATGGACCTAATTTTATTATTTATATAGCGTAATACAAAATTATAAATGTGAAAAAATAATAAGATGGTTAAGAGATGAAGCCACTGAAATTTCTAGTATTCAAATATTCTAATTTATTTGGCTCTTTTCATTTTTAAATTCGACCATCTATGCAGTGTAATTTTTCAGGCTTCGCTCTAATATAATAGAAGCCCTTGTGCTGATGTTTTAAGTTTATAGAATGTGAAATTGAAAGTTCAATTTTGTTTTCAGGTTTATTGCACTGCCATTAGCAAAGAGATTTGGGGTTTCAGATGGGAAGGAAAGAAAACCAGCGCAACCTAATAAACAATTAGAAGAATATTTCAACTTTAAATCAAAACATCCAACTGAGGTAAACACATATTCTCACTGCCGACCTTATGCCTTTGCTGCAGCACTGGACGTCCGCACTTCTATGCAGTTGGGCACAGTTCTCCGATTCCAAATGTTCTGACATTTGGTTCAATATTTCTCTCTGAAACGAGGTGGTTTGGCATGATGGCAGATGCGCCAGATCACGCCATGCTTGCCCCAATAATAATTTCAATTGAATGCTAAAGTAATTTTTTTGTTTGTTTGCTAAATCAGATTATTTTTTAGAGGAATCCTATGGTGACGTTTTTAAAACACTTTTCCTTATAGTTTGTTGCCAAGTGCCTGTTTGTCAATTTTTGCCCATATGAAGGCCCAGAGTGTCTTGTAAAGGGAGGGTTTGCACTCACTTTTGCAATTTATGTCTCTCAATGTTGGGCTATTCTCGGTATCTGAGAACTGTACCGTACTGCCATAGGCCCCTTTTTTATTCTAGGTGTGAGATATAGATTTAATCATCATCAATTATAATCATTGTATAGGCGGCAAGACCCATAAACTTACTTTAATCATGGTGATAAAATGTTGATACAAATCCATTTTTTCATTGAATATTTCCTATATGATGTTATTCAACTGAAAATTTGATTTTGTATCATTGATATTCAATTTCCATTTTTTCCCAACATAAAATTAGCCGTCTGCAGCTTAGTGAATTCCTATTCTGAGGTCAGCCTTTGTTGATTAATAATATTCTTTAGTAGGGATGTCAGCTTTGGTTAAGGTGGATTTATTTTATGTCTGTTTATATTCATAAGGGTTCCATTGGCTGAAAATATGGTTGGTACTCCCGTAGTGTGTGTACCAGGTTAAGGTTAGGGCATAATTTTATTCTGATTTCCCCTATTTTAGTTCTATCATGAATTCGGGGACTGTCTGTTTTAGCCAAGTGAATATACCATACCCCCTGTCCATAGGCTTCAGTCCCTTTACACAATCTGTCCATAGGCTTCAGTCCCTTTACACAATTTGATGTAAAGTAGGCGAACAAAATCATGTACTTCTGTATTATTAGTTATTACACACGTTTTAAAGTGCCAAATATGGCACAGTTTTAATTACTAAGCCATAAATACCGGTAATATACATTTATGTAAGAAACAATGTTTTAACATAGTATTATCAATTAGTTTATCACTCTAGTGTTAAGTGTTTGATAAGAGCTCAAAAACATTTTTAGGGGCTCCCGAAGTATGCGAACCAAGATGGCGGACATCGGAATGTAATATGTGTACTAGGTTAGGGTTAGGCCATACTTTTAGGTATAAATACTACGGGAGGCTCTTGGCTAGTCTTCGAACTGATAATAGGACTAAAATAAGGAAAATTGGAAAAAAATTATCGCCTATCCCTAACCTGTTACCCATGTTACGTTCCGATGTCCGCCATCTTGGTTCGCATACTTCGGGAGCACCCATTTTTATATGAATAGTATTCATTTTCACATTTACCTATCTAAACTAAATGAGTTAGACCAGGGGTTCTCAAACTTTTAGTGTTTCACAGCCCCTGAAGAGGTTGACTAGTATATACGGAGCCTACAATGGTTTCTACTCATCGATTCATGTTTCTGAGTAAATTAAAATAAATTTATTTATTGATTCTGATGTATTTATCGTTTTCAAATTTTATTAATGTTGTTATTACTTCTTTGTAAAGTTCCAAATCAGCCATGTAAACGAATAGCTCGTGAAGCCTCTTATGGGCACTTTAAGAGCCTATAATTTAGACAAAATTTTTGTTTTACAAATTACCAACTTCACTAATTGGTTCAACATTATTATAACAAAAGCTTGCGAATGACAAGATTTTTGTTTACAAAATTAAATTACTGTCTGAAGTTTAGAGCTGGAGTCAGGTTAAAATTTTGAATAAATATTTGTTTTGCTCTATTTTTTGAGTCTGTTTCAGATCTCCCCTTGACAAATCAGCCCCGAAGTTCAAATCCTTTTAAACTTTTCTATAACTTATGTTTGTCCAACGTTTGTTTCTCACTTTCATAAATTAAAATATTAATAATTAATTGCTTTGGCATTTCTTTGTTTGATAACCAGGAAGTTCAAAGTTCATCTTCCGAGTCCCTGCTGTGACATATTTCTCTGTGTTGAATTATTTATGCCAGTAAAACTATCTGTACATTGAGTCTTTGGTACTCCCGAAGTATGTGATCCAAGATGGCGGACACCGGAGCGTCGAGTATGTGTACCAGATTAGGGTTAGGCCATAATTTCAGATACAAATACTACGAGAGACACTTGTCTAGTCTGGACTCCTAATAGAACTAAAATAAGGAAAATTGGAATAAAATTATGGCCTAACCCTAACCTGGTACACATAATACCTCGGTTCACATACTTTGGGAGTTTCACATACTTCGGGAGTACTCGTAATATTATCTGTACATTAAGTCTTTGACATAACATAGGGTGTTCATAAATTCGATTCCAAAATTTTGTCATGTAGTTAGTTTTCAATATATAAACCAGGTTCATTTAATTTTCATCAATACATACATACATACATACATATTTAAATATGGCCATCAATAAATAGTTCTCACAATTTTAGTTGTTAGAGTGGTAGTGTCCATATTTGCAGAGAGAAATTTTTTTATTCACATTATTTTTTTCTTTCACAAGAAAGTCAATAGGACACAGAGTTTTTGTGCAATGAAAATGGGCTGCGAAAAAAAAAGGTTGAGATCCACTATAGGAGAATATTCAGTTTTGGTTATCCTTGCTATATATCTCAACAAAATGATATTTTTTATTGGGTCTTCAGAAAGTGAAACTGGAACATGCCGTACTTCAACTTGACATTTTCCCAATACAATAACATCCAATCATGTGATACACAAACGTGGTACACATCTCTTTTTATCTGATGTTTGTGTTTCGTAGGTTGTGATTATGGAGTCTGCTTTCTATTCTCATAAGATAATGACACTTAATTTCATTTGGTATGGAAGGTTTTTGGATCAGTGAAAAAAATACGGTACTCATCAATTGTCATAATAATCCTGCTATGAATGCTGATATTGGTTGCGTTATTGTTTATATATTTATTTTGGAACATGTGCTATAGCAAGTATAAAGATGCTCATTCTGTTTGATTCAAGATACATTTTCCAGTAAATACCAATCATTGTTCGCTTTAACCACGTTCACTATATAATAAATTCTACTCAGTGATGATAAAATCATAGTTTATTATTTCCACAATGTTATAACAAACTGTGTTCCCCCGAAAATAAGACAGGGTCTTATTTCAATTTTTTTCGGAAAACAACACTGAGTTTTATTTTTCGGGGATGACTTTTATTTTCATTTATCAAAAACAAAATTACAATAGTAGAGAATTACAATATTTTTTGCTATCGAGAAAGAAAAAAAAAATTCGTGCTTTCTTATTTACTGCTAAGGCGGTTATGATATTTTTACTTCGAATTGTTTCATCTTGTTGAATTACATATGATCAAAATTCTTTACATTCATTAGTTACCGTATGTGTAATCAAAGCTTTTCATAAAAAGTCATGAGAGTTTAATAATCACAAAATATATGTTTTTATCACATCCTTAAAACAGATTTTTTGGGTTTTGCTCTTTGCTATGTTCTGTTGTTTAAATATTCTGCCCAGATATAGACATGCAAAGTTGGTGTGATGATAGCCTGATGCAGGCTAGAGCTATTAACTGATTATATATATGGTTGTCGGAGACTTAATCATGAGAAAGATTCTTTCAAAAATAACAGATTGTGAAGCATCAGTAATTATACGGGGGTCGTGACCCCCAGTTTAAAAAAAATTTTGGCGCAAAATTTCTACCTTCTACAAAAAAGCAACCTCGTTGCACAAATCCTACAAATCCTTTCATCAAAACAACCACTTATTAAACAGACACAATTTAATATCAAAATTATTCAAAAACTTATGATAAAAGGGCGTTATAATATTTTTACTTCAAATTTTTACCCCCTTATTGAATTACATTACGAGCCAAACTCTAAAGGTTTTTAATTAGTGTAGTCAAGTTTTTAAGTAATCGATGCTTATCAATAAAAATTTATGCTAGTTTAAAATTTAAAAATGTACGTTTTTCTAATCAATTTTCGAAAGATTTTTCAAAAGTTGCATTATCGAATTCATATGAGCGGAATTCTATACATTCTTTAGTTATGTGTAATCAATGCTGATTGTGTGATGCTTGCAAAATTTATAGAATACACACCTAACATATTTACTTAATGCTTTCTATTGTGCAATAGACTAGTTCTTGCACAACAGGACTTTGTACTTTCTATCAAGGAAGCCTGTTGCTGTCTTTGTCTGCATGATTAATTTCATCAATATGTTTTTATTGTTATCAATAGAAAAATCACGCTGGGTTTTTGGGACTTTTTGCTGACAGCATCCAATTTGATATGACCTGTTTGTTTTGTTAATATTGCTGACAATCTTACTATTCTCAACTTAGGCCAGGAATTTCCCAATAAATTAAACATTTTAATTAATTCAAAGCTATGGCCTGGCCCGAAATACGTTTTAACTGAATAAACTCTAGAATGAAACTCAAACTAAAACATTCTGAACTAAGGATATGCAACAATTTTAATCTAAGACCAAATTTATTTATTCCATGAGGGATGGGAAAGATGGGAGAATGAGGAATTGCTTAGCCTTGCAGTAATAAAGACATCGTCAGAGACGTCAGAAGATTTAACATAGTAACAGGAGCAAAAGATATTATTTTTTCTTACTCATGTGAACGCCCTTTTGAACATAAGCTGTCGGATTAGGTTTTTATGCCCTATGGGGAAAATCTTAGTGTTGGGCTGCACTGAATGACTTGGCGGACCTGTTATACACCCCTGTTACAAACGCTTTGCTTGCATACTTAGCATGCTTTGCTTGCAAAGCCTTTCTTTCTGAACAATGCTTTAAACAAGATTTATAAAAATTCGCATACAAGCTGACTCTACAAATCATAACATGTCGTACGAGTTGTAGCTGTTGGAATGGCATAATGCCATTTCGTTTGAGTGCGATCAGAGTTGAGCAAGTTGGCTGGCTGAGGCAACTAGCGAAGTTTAATGATGCGCTTGGCTAGTTTAAATTGTTAACTGGCTTTCTTTTTTTTTTTGGTCGGGAATATATGCTAACAATTTTGGCATCATATTAAACTAAAAATCAAATGCGGATTTTGTTAGCCTAGGTTGGCTTGATAAGTGGCAAGTACTGACCAATGTGTTTGCACAATAAAAGTGTTTGTTTTGTATTGCACTGGTTACCTATTCTTGGTACTATTGTGGCCCGCGAACAATGCAAAAATAACTGCCACAAGCCAGTCTGACACCCCCTGCTTGAAACTCGCAAACTCAAAGGGATCGATAAGCCACACTTTTTTTTAGTTTTATAGTTTTAAACTCATCTTAAATGTGCGAGGATATACATACTATAATATGCGTACTATATTTGTGGGCGAACATGAAATTTATTGCTAACTTTATTCTTGCTTCTAACTAGCTAAAATCGAGGGCACGAAGGGTATAGGTTGAACTGTAATCTAAACAGTTTTCTTATTACTATGCTTTAATATGAAATCTTTCTCCTTGAACAAAGCTTTAGATAAGAAGTTACTCAAATATATTTGTGGTACTACTCTTTTTTAGAGCAACCTGAGTTTCAGTGCTATCTTTATTCTTGCCTTTAACTAGATGTAACTGAGGTAACTCTAACTATCTCAGACTAGTCAAATATTTAAATACATCGATTATATATGATTCAGTAAATTCTTCATTTAAGATTAATTTAGAGTATTTTTATTAGAAAATGTATTTTTAGCTTTTATTATTTTATGATAGAGAAAAAATTATTAACCACTGACAAAACAAAATAGAGAGTACTATGAGAGTATTAAGGCAATGTTTATTCCAATTGTTGTGCATGACGAAATTTGATTTCTACGATTTTTAAATTGAGGTCGGAATAAAAGGATTCGAATTAGGCAAAGGCAGGAATATACATCAAGAAGGTTAGGGACCTGCTGCACTAGACCAGGGGTGGGCAACATACGGCCCGCGCTCCGGGTCCGGCCCGCGACGAGATTTTGACCGGCCCGCTGAATGTACATCAGTACATTATGATATTACATTATTACACTTTCAGTACAGTATGATAAATTCATCATGTGTTTTTTGGTCTCTATTTTTAGTAAAGTTTAAACTTTACTTTATTAAACGCGATTCATAACTTTCTTTCTTGCATTGTCGAATAAACATGTGATTAAGATATTGAATACTATTCATGTTATAATTTGGCCCACCGAGGACTTCATTCTCCCACATCCGGTCCGCTGACTAGAGAAGTTGCCCACCCCTGCACTAGACGAACGCACCCACAAGTCCTTAAAGCTGAATGCATGCCGTTGCTCGCTAATCAAATTTGGTTTCTTGCGGCTCCCCTCATTTTTTTAAATTATTTATTGCAATTTGTATATCAAGTGTGTTTTCAATATGGTGAGAAAATAAACTACTGATCACTGATTAATAATTGTATGCCTTGCTATCGTGTTAAATGTCACATTGGTGTCACATTTGGCATTCCTTGAGGCTATTTACTTATCATGAGATTCAGGAATTTTATCAGGGTTACGTTTTCTATACCCTTCACTTGAACTTTTGTGTAATAAATCTGGTAGGACAACATTTTTTGTTGATTTTAGAACATTAGTTTATTTTATGTTATAAGTCTTTTATTATTGATTGAACAAAAATGGCTCATGTAGGATAAAAAATAGTTCTTAAACTGGAAAGTCTTTCCAATGTCATAATAGCTTCATATGTATCAGTGGAAACTTGTCTAGTACCTTGTGTGTACCTAGAAAAACTGACCAACTGTTGCCCTAACTAAAGAAATCTTTGTGAATATTGTAAAATATGTCTATGTTCACCATATCAATTAAAAATTGTTCGAATCAGAAGGATCTTAGTCCTTACTAAATTAGGTACTCCCGTAGAATGTGAACCAAGATGATGGACACCGGAACGTAGTATGCGTACCGGGTTAGGGTTAGGCCATAATTTTACTACTTAAAAATACTACGGTCACTTGGCTAGTCCCCGAACTCATAATAGAACTAAAATAAGGAAAATTGGAATTTGGCCTAACCCTAACCTGGTGCACATACTACATTTTGGTGTCCGCCATCTTGTTTCACATACTTCGGGAGCGCCCAAAATTATAGTAGCTACGTAATGGATACATGCCCAGTGCCTCGTTTGCAAAGTTGTGTAATGCTTCAAAAAAATGTAACTGTTGATTTATTTAGAGCAGTGGTTTTCAAACGGGGGTGTGTACTTTTGAGGGGGCGTGAAGCTAATTGAAGATAAGAATATTCGGCGGTTCCCAATGGGTGCGCTGTGGTGTGTTGCTGAATGCGCCGCGAAAATTAACATAAATATGTCAAACATAACTATTATACGAGTATGATTTAATATTTTACATATTGTATTTATTATAAATGTTTTATTGTTTCTTATTTTAAATGCTGTGTATATGGATTGACTTTTTGCCCTTAACTAAACTTTAAAAGACATAAAGTAAACATTAATGATCACAAAACTGAGTTTTATCAAAACAAATTGATCAGAAATTTGAGTATTATTTAATGTGTGTAAGTGCGCTGTGAGTTTTTTGTCCCTGATAATTTGGCGAAACGAAAAGTTTTTGAACATCTGCCCTAGGTAATAGCACTTTGGTCACTGATCAATTGTAATAACATTTTATCTTCTGTTTCTCAGGCAGAAATTGACGGCCTTTCAAAACAATTGGATTGGTCAACGCTCGTAATCAAACGATGGTTCAGAAGGAAAAGAAATTTAAGTCGACCGAGTCTACAAACGAAGTTTTGCGAAGCGAGGTGAGAGATGACAATTCTGTTTTTTACACAACGCTCACAAATCTTCTCGCTTGCTTAAAAAAGGGTGTTCTAAAGCAGCCACTGATGTGAAATGATTTGTAGAGAGCAACTAGTTCGGAAAAACTGAAATCTTTCTGTTTCAGCATTGCCTACACCACGTGTGTGCAAACTGCGGCACGCGGGCCGAATAAAGCACATAAGGAGAAATTGTGCGACCCGACCCGCAAAGCGAGTTTTTAATTTAGTTTAATCGAGTAATTCCAATCCCTTTGCGCTGCAAAGCCTACACCTGAGCCAATTCATCATCTATTCATATGACGTTACAACGCCCTAACAGCTAGCTTTTGCGAAATGAACAACGCATGTCATAAAATCAATAACCAAACTTTTGTGTCAGCAATTACTAAAAAACCTATGTTTAAATAAAGGTGCGGCCCACATTTTCACCCAGTTATTTGTATCTGGCCCTCCTGTATTGAAGGTTGCCCATCCCTGGCCCTACATAATTCATTATAGGCTACTTCGAGTGAGCTGATGGCCATGAGATTTGAACCTGTGATGTGTAATCTGCGATACTAACACACTTAACTTTTTAACTGCATCACGGCACATTGAAATTGTTACAAACATTTTGAATCATTGAAATGGTATTGGAATTAGGGATGTTTAAAAAAAATCAGAAATCTATTTCAATTCTTGTGTAGAAATTGTTAAAAACACAGGTAATCAGGTTGCAATGTGATGTCTAGCAAACAAATTAGACACATACGCAATTAATCAATAATGCTTTCACTTAGGATTTCAAAATGATTTGTTTTCTTCTCTGATGAGTCTTATAATTGAAAGGAATTGTAATAATGACTCATTCATTTATTCATTTGACTATTTCCTTTCCATCAGTCTAGGATAATTATTCCAATAATTAGGCTTGCAATATTTATAGCAGTTTCTCATTTTCTGAGCTTTGAAATTTATTGTCATAAACAAACTGACTTTATTAAGCAATTAGTATTGCTCATCCGGGATTTAATAGATTGTGTAGGTCGTAGGGCAAGAGTATGCAACAGACGACCTGTGGGCCACAACCCGGCCCGCCAAGCTATTTAGTGTGGCCCTTTTGAACACTGAGATTTTTTCCCATCAAGCATAAAATCCTAATCCGACAGTTTGTTTGAAAAGGTTCTCACATTGATAAAAATACAAATTTTTTTGCTTTTGTCGCTGCGTCAAATCTTTCTTTTTATTCATGCCGTGATTGTGTGTGACCTCTTTTGTTCAAAATGATAGTTTTTCACATGTAATGCTATTTCAAATTATTCCTGAAACCAAGAATTTTAAAAATTGAATATTGTAAACTTTGAATCAATCGGAGTATTCGATTCCTTATTATAGACATGCAAAATTATTGGAGTGGTACTGTCCACACTGAGAAACATTAATATGAATTATATTGTAATAATATTTAATTAAAAATAAATTTTCAATGTGGGGAATTAATATGGAATTTGAATTTATCAATGAATTGATAATTAGTGTATGTTTATATATAACACTCTTCTCTGGTAAATCAATATATCTGGCAAAGCTTGGCTATGACTTGTCTTGGTTACTGGAACAATATATATGCTGGTGCTTCATGCCCTAAAACTAGCGATTAATACGAGACCTTTAGCAATTTAAGTCAATATGTTCGGAAACTCCATGTATGACAATTATAATAAAGATGTTTAATAGAGCGCTGTACCTTATGACGCTAAACTAGGGAAAGCCTGTATAATTTATATTATCTGGAATATGGTTCTGCGCTTTTGTTACTGATTGGTCACATATAGATTTAATTAAGTGTCGAAGGCATTGAGAAAGTCCAAATATACTTTTGTGAATGTTCAGTGAAACTTAAATTATGTGAAATAAAATGCTGCTCTGTAAATTTAAATTTAGATTGTTCAATTATTTTTTAAATGGCTATTTTGAAATTCAATCACGATTTGAAATCAAGTTATCTAGTCATTGATCAGTCAATTAACTAATATATGTAGCAAACCGCTTTCTCACGCTTTATGACAACATGTTTCATGTTCTGACATTAGCTGACTTATCAATCATTACAGTAATCAATATGGAAATATTGACCCCTTTTTGACATCAGGAAGTTATTTAATAAGGAAGTTGTAGGAATTAATCTTTTGCCTTGTGCCAAATTGTACTTCAATATCCTGTAATGCAAGGGCTCAAAGGCTTCAAACTCTTCCCCCCCTACCAATTCATTAGCTAATGATATGTACAAATAGCACTTTGGTTTTTGTACAATTTAATTTGTTTATAATGTGTGTATAAACATGGATTACCATGACACTAATTATATAAAAAATATAAGTAATACTACATGTAAATACAAGGTAATTTTTTCTCCCTAAAAACAATAAAGTTCCTCTCCAATAGGGGAACGCTGCCTCTATTCTTTATCCACAAAAACATTGTGTGTCCACATATTCTAAGGAAGACTGAGAAAATCAAGGCCACATGCATCGTTCAGACATAAACACATAGCAAACTGCCTTGCACTAATCTGATTCTTTTCGGTTGTTGGGCTAATCAAATATTTAACAATTTCTTGTGTTCGTGACTCAAACTTTTTACCATGAGGCATAATAACTATGTTTGGTTATTTGAAGCTTTAAGCTAATGCTATGCGCAACTAGCAGCTCCGAATTTCGTACAGTTTGAACATTTTATAATAAATCATTAAATAGTTATTTCAATAATACTGAGTAACCAAACGAATTTGTGAAACTACAACAAATACAAAGTAATATTTGTTTCCCAAGAATATCAACTCCAACCTCTACCTCCTTTATGTTTATTACCTTCCATATGAGTGTTTGCTTGCCAATTTGGCTAGGTTATATAGTTAATAAAAATTGAGATTATTCTTACCTTGACTTTGGAATTACACTTGTTTTCCTTTTTTCCAGTTGGCGATGTATGTTCTACACTTTGGTTTTTACTTTTGGAATGGGAACACTATGGCAGGTGGGTTTTCTTTACTTATTATTCATCATTTACGTGATTTTGCAGCAATGTCTGGTACACTTTTATTCTGTCTCTGTCGTGGGCTCAGCGATGCGCCGCGTCATGCTAAGCATTAGGAATATGCTCGCCACCGCACCTCTGATTACTCTGCATAGGTTCAAATCCTGTGGGAGATAATTAGGTGCGAGAGGATTGCTTGTCTTCTCGCTTCCGTAGGTTAAGTTTCCTCCACCATCAAATAGCATATGAAACAAATAATTGGCAAACTAATCCCATAACCGACAGTGGACTAGTAACTGAAAGTGGGGTCGTGGTTCCCCATATGATAAAAGCCGGCTTTTCTCTCCCCAAGCATAAATATGTAAATTCTATCCTATTTATCTGTCTTGCCATTTTTATATCTCACTTCTGGTTGCTGTTGCGCTTATGTTTCTAAGACTATCACCGCGACTCAGTTTGTGTTTTCAGAATTTTCATTGACAGTATGCATCTCATGTAATTCACAGTACACATCTCAATAACTGAACGTACTGTTCATTCACCCTCTAATAATAAGGAGGCCATTTAAATGACGATTGCGCCCATATATCCACCACTATTCCTAACCTACTGATTATATATCAGCCCAATAGCCTTCCACAGAGAAAGCGATTCAAATGGCGATTGGGGCCATAATTATATCCGTCCTGATTTCTAACCTGCTGCCACTATGACACCCTTATAGCCCCCTATAAATGGGGCTATGGGGGAACAACTACCCTTCTGTTTGTTATTCAATGAACTGCGGTTTCCATGGTTACCTCGCATGTCGCCTCGCTTCCATTGTAACAAGTGACATTGGGATAAAACGTATCTTAGACTTACAAGTCTTAACCCTTTCCGTGCGGTGGGCACGTATACGTACCAACGACAAAAGTCGCTAGATTGCGGCGGGTACGTTGATGTACTCCACTGTTTTATTTTGCAATCGGTCGCAAACTGTTGGTCTAGTTTTATCGTGTTTTAGTTTATTGATAAGAAGTCTTCTTCGAGATTAACATAAGCGACGGTAAATCTCGCTTTCCTTACGACGAGAATTTTATTTGCGGCGGAACGAGGGAGTGTTTTCGAAATTTATGCAAATTTCGGTGTTTTTTGGGTGGTAATAAAAAGACATATTATCCCTTTCATCTACCAAAGTATTTTGAGTTAGATCACGAAATTGCTACAGAAATATTATGCTATTGTTCCACAACCACGAAGCGGTAACAGTAAATGATTTAGCGAATATTTATATTTTTTATCACGGTTTGAAGTTTCAACTCCCTAGAAAAAAAAATGCCCTTTTTCTATCCGGTTTGTGACTCAGACCACCACTTTTGAAAAAACTTTTTTTTTTAATTGCCAATTGCAAGCTCTTTAAATAAGCTTTCCAACGAGCTGTCAGTGGGCAGCAGATGATCATTAGTTTTTCGTTAGTCGATCGATCAGTTGTAGGGGTACAAATGCATGAAATCAGCGTAGCAAATACGATTATTTAATAAAAAATAAAAATCGCATGGAAAGGGTTAAACATATCTCAAAAGTTCGGTTTTCGTTAGTATTCTATGTTCCTCATAATCACCATGTAGAGAATAGCAGTGAATATTATTAAAATAAAAAACCTTTTTGTTCCAGACTCCATGGTTTTGGGATAATTTGCAATGCTGGGTTGACTACCCCCGTCAATCTGTCGAACAATCAACTTATATATATTATATGCTGGAAGCAAGTTTTTATGTTTCTTTGCTGTTTACAGTTATGCAAGATGTCAAAAGAAAGGTAAAAGGATTTGATTTTTTTTAAATTGTTTCTGTTTAAGTGGTTGTTTAGATAAAAGGATTTGTACATAAAGTACGACGAGGTTGCTTTTTTGTAAGAGGTAGAAATTTTGCATCAAAAATTTATTTGAACAGGGGGTTACGACTCCCGTACCAGCCCATTCAACTCCTCCATGATTCCTACTTTGTGTTGGAGAAAAGTTCGGGTCCTAACTTAGAAAAAAACATAAATTTCGACCATGAAAATGTTGATGTATGCAAGCAATTGTAAGTTTAGCTTTCATAGTTCATAGTTTTAGTCTGAAATGTTGATTACTTATTGCCACTGTTGACTTGATTTCCACCATCAAATGACTGAAATTCAGATTTTCAACTCAAGAGAATTCTAAAAAACCTGCCCCAATAAATTTAAAGTGAAAATCAAATTCGACAGAGCACACAGAATTTTTTTTTGGTTAAATGAAAATTATAGCACTCCCGCGACAACAACAATCTTTGACCACTGGAAATTTCAAATATTTTGAACCTGTAGGTAACAGTAAAGCGATTTAGTCACAACAAGAAAATGCGGAATGACAACATTAGCTTATAACGCAAAAAACTAAATGCTCTTACAGCCCCCCTGATATTCCCTCGCGGACCCTTTTCAGTTTGAGAGCCACTGGATTACATTGATCACTCATTTTTTTTTTTATTTAATCGTGTGAGTATCATCGTACTTCACTTACATGAAACATTGGTATTTTTCAGGACTTCAAAGTTCAACTGATCCATCATGTCGCGACATTATTTCTGATTGGGTTTTCATATGCCGCAAACTTCGTGAGAGCCGGAACGCTTGTCATGGCCGTCCATGATATTTCAGACATTTTCCTAGAAGGGGCAAAGTGCTTTATTTATATTAAATGGAATAATTTTGCAGACACTTTGTTCATCTTTTTTGCACTTTCTTTTCTTATATCAAGACTGGTTATTTTTCCTTTTTGGTGAGTTGTTTTTTTGTTTTTCACAAACTTTCGCGGTCCGTTGCACTTTCCCGAGGACTCTCCGACACTTTGTTAGTGGCCCCCAGACTTGCCACCAAATTGAGCGATAATCATTTGACTATCAGTGAACAAATTCGAATAAATTACAAATAAAAGTATTTCATTTTATCCATTTTTTACAAAGGCCATGAAGGCCATCTTTGTTGATTACTTTCTCAATTCAAGATCTGGCCATGGACATTTATATGTATGTCTTGTTTATAGTGAAAGTGGAAAACCCATTCATAAAAACTCATCAACAACTTCCTAAAAATTTTATTTTAAATTTGCGAAGCCATTCAGATTTTGATTCTTTCAAAATAGTACCTGCGATTGTTTGTTTAGTCCAGGGGTGTGCAACATTGGGCAATATAACCAACTTTAGACATCCAGCTGAGCCACACACAAAGCTTAGCGGAAGAAAAAGAGAATGCGCTATGGCTTAGCCTTACAGTAATGAATGCATCGGGCAAAACGGTGAAAGAATTACCATATTGACAAGAGCAAAAAATAACATCTAGTTTTACCCATGTGAGCGCCATTTCGAAAATGAACCTGACGGATTAGAATTTTATGCTTGATGCGTGAATCTGTGGGTTGACAAGGGCCACACTAAATGACCTGGTGGGCTGGGTTGTGGATTGCGGGTACACCCCTGGTTTACTTTTTAAAGCGGGGGTGGGCAAGATATTTAGACCAAGGGCAAAAAATTTTACTCAACTAGATTGTCGGGCCATGTAAGTGTGGCATAAAAAGTTATGTTCAATGAACAAAATTCACAGTGCTACAAAACCAAAGGTACAATGAGCCTCGTGCTCAAACTAATTCAATCGCAATCTCAACAAATTTCTTAGCCATTTTTTAGCTAAAACATCTAAATTTGGTTTTAGTTTGGTTGCGGCAGCATCAGGCGGGCCAGATTGAATTATCCGACAGCGGGATTTGGCCCACTGACTGCAGTTTGCCCATGTCAGCGATAGAACCTTGTTTCAAATCAATTCGCGAGAACACATTTTACAATAAACATCATTTTACAATCAGGTTGTGACCTGCGGACCACCTGTTGCACACCCCTGGTTTAGGCTTCAAAGCCTTGTCACCTGTTGCACACCCCTGGTTTAGGCTTCAAAGCCTTGTCCCAAATAAACTTGCAAAAACACATTTTACAATTAACATCATTTTACGATTGGGCTGTGACCTGCGGACCACCTGTTGCACACCCCTGGTTTAGGCTTCAAAGCCTTGTCCCAAATAAACTTGCGAAAATACATTTTACAATCAACATCATTTTACAATTTGGTTGTGAGCTGCGAGCCACTTGTTGCACACCCCTGGTTTAGGCTTCAAAGCCTTGTCACCTGTTGCACACCCCTGGTTTAGACTTCAAAGCCTTGTCCCAAATAAACTTGCAAAAACACATTTTACAATTAACATCATTTTACGATTGGGCTGTGACCTGCGGACCACCTGTTGCACACCCCTGGTTTAGGCTTCAAAGCCTTGTCCCAAATAAACTTGCGAAAACACATTTTACAATCAACATCATTTTACAATTTGGTTGTGAGCTGCGAGCCACTTGTTGCACACCCCTGGTTTAGGCTTCAAAGCCTTGTCCCAAATCAACTTGCGAAAACACATTTTACAATCAACTGAAATCTTCTTTTTTTCACAGGATTATTCATACCACATACATAAAGAGCATGTGGTTATTCGACCCGTACCCAGGATATTATTTCTTCAACGCTTTGTTGATGGTGTTGCAAGTCCTTCATATTTTCTGGTCCTACTTAATATTACGTATGGCATTTTTTATGGTGACTGCTGGAAAGGTAAGGGTGAGCAGCCTTTTTTCTACACTGGATTTTTGCTTGAGAAATTAATAGCACTACTACTACCACTCTGCGTGCGCACACTGAAACGTTTAATTCCACATTACATATGTACAATTTGGTGGTGTAAGTATACTACTAAGGGGTGAGTCGGCACTTTCTCTGATAATAATCATTTTCGAAAGCATGATTCGGTATTTTTCGATCAAAAAATGTTTGCATGCCCTCGTGATCGGTTTTGTGTTCAGTGCCTGACGAATCAAACGTTCAAATCGCCGTTTATTTATTTTTTAGCGTGCCTATTTTTTTTACAAAAAGCAGACATTGCCTGAAATTTATATATAGCTTTTAATCGTGTCGGTATATTTGATTCGATTTTTCTCTAATTGAGTTCATCTTTTATTTTTTCATTGTGCATATTTTTTCTACAAAAAGCAAAAATTTGAATACACCCATCTTTCAATTATATCTGTATATTGTCCACCATTGTCACCGTTTTTCTTCATAAAAAGCATAAATCGTGAAATTTTTAGAATTTTTTACTCCAAGCTTTATACATATTTTCTCAATATTCCATCTTCAGCCTTTCTAGAGCAGTTGTCGGCAAAGTTTTTTAAGCGAGGCCCAAACAGTTAAAGGGAAAAGGTTTCAAGGCTCAACAATTTCTTAGAAAATTTCAAATTTAACCACATAATGAAATTGTTGATAAGATGCATTTAATTTGTTTAGTTAAAATAAACCTGAACGTAATGTATGATCGTTTGATATATGAACTAAAACCATTTGGCAAAAAATTTAGCTGTAATGTTGGACTTACAGATCTTTTTTGTGTATCATAATTTTATAATATTAATTTTTGGGGCCATAATTTTATTGGGGACACACACGAAAATGCTTGGCGTCCCACGTTTGGGCCGCATACCACTGTTCTAGAGCAACAATTTGTCACATTTTGAGTATTTAGAACTTATTTATCGTATGGCAAATTCTTATTTTGCAAAGCAAATTCATATATATTTCCCTATTTTGTGAAGCGTAAGTATTGGTAAAGCTGTAATTAAGCCATCTTATAGCATATAAGATAGTATTCTGGTTATATATACGCCCTTTATCACTCATTAGATGAGTAGGTGACAAAGTTTCAATTGAAGATTTTAGCCTTGTACAACTCTCAATTATCACTTTATCACTCATTAGGTGAGTAGGTGCCACAAAGTGCTACAACTGGTCCAACTTTTTCAAAGGAAAGCTTTACATTTTTTATGTTGATGCATATCATTATTTTCTTGTACAATTTACAAGTGATCCTGTCACATCTTAGCCAGTATTTAGGTCGAATTTTATTTTTAGGTTTAAATATAAAATACTATCCAAACCTAACCATCAACAATAATTAATTCTTCAATTCTTTTTCTTTCATATATAAACCTTTGAAAACAATAAAGGTAGCGGTAAGTACATGTAGGAAGCATTTTTCAAAATCTTAGTTTCGTATGATCTCAGAAAAACTAAAACATGCACTAATTTATCAAACTAACTCAAATATTTTCAATTTTTCTCCCAAAATCTAATTAGCTATTTTTGTTCTACTGACCATTAACACTGTGCTGGTACCATTTATGAGAAAACTTATTTTCTGGGAAAACATGTAAATAACCAATTTCTCTATGTTATTGCTTAAAGTTAATATTTATTATGATCATGAAATGCAAGAAATCAGTGACTATTTTAATTTTTCATTCAATATTAGATAAAATACCTGTTTTGAACCATGAAAATAGCACATCATTTATAAAAACTCAAAATGGACTCAGTGGTGGCCATTAAATTATGATAAATATAAAAATCGCCATACATACACTACTTAATTCATCCATACATTCGCGCAATCGATTTTTGAGAAAAAAAATAGGATTTAAAGTGCCTTTATTTTCACAATTAAAAAATAAATTTTTAATTTGAATTCGAACAATTTAATAGAACAGTGTATCTCAGCTAGAGGCCGCGAACTCAAATGAGACAGCAGAGGCACCTGTTAAGTCCACAGGCGCATTGGCTACATCGAGCAACTTATGAAAAAAAAACAATAACTTACTTGTAAAGTTGTAACGCAGAGCTTTTTCTGTTTCTTGAAAAATTGGGAGCGAAAGCACAAATGTAAAGCGATAAATAGTGTTTTTATAGTTGCCCTGAGTAAACAAATTTCAAGAAAAGCAACATTTACTTAATTCAGGTGTCGTGAGTCCGCGCCATTATTTTTGTTTCTGAAATAGCCTGCGGTCAAAAACGGTTGGGAAACACTGTTTGTCCAGAGATTGATTCATTTTATCATATGATTATTTCACCTACATCTGCTTGTATTTGTTTTACTTCACGAGCATTCATTTGCAGTGTGTGTGTGTGGCATGCACTTTGTGATTCAATGGTTTGTCAAATCAATTTAAATCATCCAATTAATATATTACAGGTTGCCCCAAAAAAACGGAATCCATACAATGGGTTTCAAATGTACTGGGTTCCGTTTTTTTGGGGTCACGCTGTATATATAGCACATGATTGTCACCTATATCATACTATTTGCTTATCAAGATTCGGCATTACGCCTTAATTATACACCTATGTACATGTTTGTGACTTTACCATATCATGCACTGATGAAGTTTTCTGAATAAAAATTCTAATTTTTGCAAGTTGCATCGTTTTGCTAACACACATTGTGCTGTATATATCCTCAATATATTGTGTGCCGATTTGTGAGTTTGCTTGTTCAATTGTGTGTGCCTCAGATTTGCATCCGATGTTATTATTAATATTAAAGGTGTCACAAGGAAACAAGACTCTGTATTTATAGAAAAAAATGAAGAGTACTCGGGACTTGTGACATCTTTAATTTGTGATCTGATTTTGCATTTTTAAATTAACATGGCTGTGACTGCTTTGTGCTGGCTACATGGATATCATTAGCTGGTTAAAAAGCGATAGAGTTCGGAGTCGTAGTGTTAGAAATTGACCAGATGTTGGCCCAAATTTTGTATCTTTTTTTGGAATTAGTCTTTATTGACTTTAATGTAGTAACTTATATCTCACATCTGAGATTTAAAAAGATTGTTTTACTATTCTCCCATCTCTTTGTTATTAGTAGGGTATTGGTTGTTAGATTATGAAATTAAAATGAGAATTAGGATAAAAAGAAATACCATCAGTTTGTTAATTAAGTTTGAAAAAACAAATTAAGAGAAGAGCTCATTTTGTTTCAATCAAATTGTATTTTTTTATCCCGAATTTCTAGACCTCATAATTACTGCATTTGTTCTGATAACTGGTGCAATTCGCTAACTGAAATTTTTATTCCATAATTATAACTGCTATGAAGGTAGTAATTAATAGCACCAAATAATTTAATAATCAATTACTAATTAAGACACACATGAAAAAAATGTTCTAAAATATTTTTTTACAACATAATTTAAGGTTGAAAAGGATGATCGTAGTGACGTTGAGGAAGTGTCAACAGACGAGGATACACCCAACCATGAACAGAATTCTATCAACCATGACAAGAAATCAACCATGCTGAACGACAACCATACGGCAACGAAAAACGGGCCCACAACAAAAGCTAAACACAGAAAATAATATTTTTTTGGCTCTTTCTAAAATGCCAAATTTAAATATTAGAATTACCTCTCATAAGACTAAACATTCTGCCATATTTGCTGCTTACAAACTGCTCTTGTAACTATGGTAACTATGAAAACTATGTCAGATAATCGCAGATTTCTGTTATATCCAATACTTTTTCTTAAAACCACGCCAATCATTTGTACAATCAAATTTATTAGAACCTATCATTATTGACTAATTATTTACCCCTATTACTGCTTATTTGTCTTAAGTATGGAGAATATTTGCAGTGTATATACTCCACACTTTAAAAAAATTGAAAATAGATTTACTAATCAAATATTATCAGTGGGTGTTTATCTATGCCTTATCTTTAATCTGCTGATAAGTATACAGTTGATAACAGTGTTAGATAACCATCATGATTTAATATTGTGGGAAACAAGTTTGAAATGGCACAAAAAACTAAGCATAACAGGAAATATTTTACATTTATATCTTAAATATAATTAATTGATAAGTATGTAACTGACAGATAAGAACTCAGATAAGGCTATATTTGAGTATATTGGTTTTTCAGAACATAATAATGTATCAGTGGTTTATCTAATTGTGATAAGCATTGATAACCCTCTAAATAATTATTTGGGCATTATAGATAACACACCCCATAACTATTTTGATAACTGGCTTTCATCAAACTTTCTTTTTATTTTTTTTACTTTTATTCCAATGAATAGAAAACTACATGACAGAATGGAATCTAATTCAATCACTTCAAAATATTATGTTAATTTTACATGATTTTTTGTAGCCTTTATTAATCAATTTAAAATCAGTCTCCTTCATTTAAAATCATGATTACTTGATAAAATGTCAGATGGGGTCAGTGTGGCACTTTTTGACCTTGGAAAAAGCTTTCAATATGAGAGTTCACATTTTTACTGTGCTATCTGGGAAAATGATTTGAACAAAGTCACACTAAATATTACTACTAGTTATGAAAAGTAAAATATTCACCGAAGGATGTATAACAATTTCTATGATGAGGATTTACTCAAAAGAAAAGATACTCACACTCACTCTGAACTGCTAAAAGTCTCTTGTTAGCTGAAATTTACTGGATTTTAATGTACCACCATAAGTCTTTATATTTGCTATGCTTGGAGGCACGAGACTTTTCTTTGAGAAAAATCTTAAAAAAATCCTGTGTTATGTTCTCGCTTTCGACTTCTCAATTGTTCCTCAAACTTGCGAACCAAACTAATGTGATAAAATGCCTCTTTCGATGAAAAAATCATATTTAAGAAATTGCATTTGTGTTTTCACCGTGCCAGTCTTTGTATCAATGATTTTCCACATGATTCTTTTTGTCAGCAGTAATACATTTCTTTATTATTAAAAAGTACATACCCAGTCAGAAAATCTGTTCTTTCTACATGGTCATGTATATGGACAATGCTACAAGGCTTTATATATGCAATAGGCCCAAGGAATGTCTCAAAAAGGTTTTCGTTTTTCCGAAGTACGGTATAACTGGATGTTAAAATATGCTTCACAAAATTTGGTGAAATTTAAACCCAGTTTGCAGTTATAGTGGACTTAGGGATAGTTCACTATTTCCCAACCTATGGGTCGCGACTCAAAACTGCAGCGCCTGTAGATTTTCTTGGGTCGCTTGTTTTTTCAACAAAAACTTTAAAGTTAATCATTTTATTCTTCAATAAATTTTATTGTTTATTTTGTATTTGGTATAGAAGTGTTGTTCAATAGTAATTGGGTACTCCTGAAGTATGCGCACCAAGATGTCGCATAACCTGAACCCTAACCTTGTACACAACCTAAGTTCAGGTTGTGTACAGGCTGAAGTTTGCACACCAAGATGTCGCACAACCTGAACCCTAACCTTGTACACAACCTGAGTTCAGGTTGTGCGTCATCTTGGTGCGCATACTTCAGGAGGTCCAGTAATTGTATGTGTAGGAAGTATCACAATGAAATTTTGACAGACCTTTTTTTGCTTAGTAAATCCACGCCACAATTTCAAAGAAGAATACTGTATTCTTATTTAAAGCCAGACTATTTTATTTGATAATTCCTCCGTCTAAAATAAAGGCAGAACATTGAAGGTCATTGGCACATGTCACAGAGAAATAATTGATGCTTTGTGTCTATGTCTTCGCATATTAGCAATTTGTTTACAGCCTTTTCCCAAGGGAAAATTGAGGCATTGCTTAAGAAATTTTAACTTCTTTAACAGAAACAAAATATTTAACCCTCTATCAGACTCAAATTCGCAAAACTGCAAATAAAAAGTTTAGAGTCATAAGGTAGCATGCATGGAAACCTATTTTGGGAATAAATTTTTAGCGTTATCTTGCTGAATAGAACGTAAGGTCTTAAAAGTTGACGACGAGTATAAACTGTTCCCCAAATATAATATGTCAAATTTCCAAGTATTTGAAACGATGATCTATTTAAAAGTGAATCTACAGCCTGTCTTCGGTCCATATATAATCCATGCTTAGAAAGGACATTTGTTTCTGACTGGGCGAAATTAATTTTTTTTTATTATATTTGCTTGCTATGATCATTGCATGTTTATCCTATACAGTATATTTCACTTGATTTTTCACTTTTTTTATAAGTTTGAAGAGAATCAGATGATAACTTATAAATTCATATTTTTGTTACTTTTTTTCCAATTGTAAATAGCATAATGAAATACTTATCATTATTGTAATTTGGGGACAAGTAATTATCCCCCAATCTTGACTGTATACTCCAAAACAGCAATTATCAAACTTTCATGATCCCTGGTCCTCTTATAAACCCTCTAAAGCAGGGGTCGGCAACCTACGGCTCGTGGGCCGAATCCGGCCCGCGGAGTAATATAATCCGGCCCGTGACGCTTCACTGAATCATAGTAACGAAGAAGATGTTTTGACGATTACCGGTATATTCTTTACGCAACAGACTACATTGTGAGACACGTGTGGACTGAATTATATTGTAATCAGAATTTAAAATTCACAATTACTCGTTTATTGGGCCTATAATTTAATTATAATTAGACACTATAATTTAATTATAATTAGACAAAATGCAAAGGGTTCGATGGCGTTGAAAATATTCAAATTTTTTGAGATGCAGTGAGCAAATAAATCTATATTCTATTCGAGAGATGTATCACTGCTTTATTGTTATTATAAAAAGTATCATACGTTCGGTTTTCAACTTTCTAAAAATATGTACGGCCAGCCAATAACTTGCAACCCTTACATTTGGCCCGCGAGTGACGAAAGGTTGCCGACCTCTGCTCTAAAGCTTATCTCCCCCTGCCCTTCTCATTCCTTATCACCCGCTACTCTTCTAGAATAATAGCTACTGGAGGCCTGCCTCCAAATACTCTCAGCTGTTGTGGCCTCTGCTATTTTGAAAAAATCTTACTTTTGCTTTTAAAGATTGCGGTCAAATTACAGACAATTCATGCAGGGTGCTCGGACACTCGCTACTTTGTCTGTAGAAGTATTTGACCTATGACCTATGCTAAAAAAAAATTCAAATATAATTATTGCCTGTTCAAAATTCTATATTATCTGATCTGTACACTGCATCTTAAGTTTTTCACTGAACTTTTCTTTGCCCAATAATTTTCCTTAAAACATTTTAATTTTTTTTGGCAATACTTAACCCACTTTCTTTCAGTTTTTGGTAAAAACACATATTGTTGATGAGACGTTCAATGATTATGTTGGCAGTTACAAATGAATGTAATTTTGTTGTTTGATTTTTTTTTGTGCAATTCCATTTCCTATTTTGCAATCTTCACATAAAATGCATGTTTTATGTTGTCAATAGCATTTGAGACATTAATTGTGAATTTGTTTTAGGTAAAAATGTCTATTTTGTTTGAATATGTATTTGAAACTGGGTTACTATTTCAATACGCGACATGGTATGGTAACTGGATGAGAGGTTTGTCATATGATTGAGTCATCCTATTGACCACCGTCAAGGATAAATATGGCAGACCTAGCCTAATACTTTTTATCAGCACAACATAAATTAAATAGAACTGATTATTTTGATGTCTAGTTCCTTTGATTATGCTCATATTTGCAAGAAAAAGTTCCAAAATAATTCAAATTCATCAATTTACCTATGGAATCATTAATTGTGATTCTGCCTATTTAAAATAATCAATCGATTCTCCAAATATTTTTGATTACATACAATTAATTTGATTCGCAATAACTGGGATATAAGGCCTCTCCATAGTCTTAAGTGTAAAACATTTCTCCATTTTTATGTTATGTTTATTTATACCCTGCCTTATTAATATGCTTCTCTCACTAAAATGCTTTATCCATGGCCGTTGATAGATTGTTCAGTGCTACTTTAGCGTGAGATCTACCTTTGCATTTTCCAACCCTAATAGATTTAATTAAACAATAATCTCATGATTTGTACTCGTCCCAGAGTTATTCCTCAGACTCAGGATACTTTTATTTCAGGCCAGGAATTTTTAAAGAATGTGGGGGGGAATGGAATCTGAAATTTGCAAGTTAGAATGTAACAGCTAGCATGTTAGTGGTTTGTGAGAAATTGTGGGTTTTAAGTCTTTAGGGTCTGAAAAACCTTTCAAGATACAAAAAAAAGTTGGACCTCCTGAAGTATGCGCACCAAGATGACGCACAACTTGAACTCAGGTCGTGTACAAGGTTAGGGTTCAGGCTATGCGACATCTTGGTGCGCATACTTCAGGAGTACCAAAAAATTCTTATATGGTTCAGGAAATTGCTTTTTTACATTTCAAAGGGGGGGTGGGGTACCAAATCTCACCCCCTACCTGCTGTGCCCATGCTCAGGACTATACCTGAGTGGTAAGGTGGTAGACCTCATGCTAACGCAGCACCAGTTTTTCTTTACCAGGCCTCGCTATGAACTGAAGGTCTGGGCTGTTACGATAAGAGTACAATAGGTTAGGGTTGCCATACTGTCCGGAAAATTCCGAACATGTCCGAAATTTAGGGTTAAATTTTGCGTCCGAGAAGAATTTAAAAAATGCTTAAATGTCCGGAATCCGGAATTTTACTGCATCTGCAATCGTACTGTGCACACTGCTAGTAAAGAACATTGTTATTTCGTACCGTGCGCATATTTTTTACTACGAGGTCAGGATAAGGTCATGAACTGTCCGGAATTTTGCTTTTTCAAATATGGTGACCCTACAATAGGTATGATACAGATTGGGGGATTGGGTTAACACGACTTGATTGACATAATTTTTGAATATACAGAGTGTCCAAAACATTTCTTCTCTGTTTATTAATAGTTCTTAATGTGCTTGTAGTTTTCATTTATCATACAATGAAATTTAGTTTAACTTACAATTGTTATTACTATGAAACCGGACAAATTTTTTTGGACACCCTGTATATTTAGATGCCTCCACACGGAAGCAATTATCTCTCCTCTTAGCTATGGTACTGTCAAGAGAAAACTGGAATTTACTTTTTGTAATTTTTTTGATATTGTGTTAAAATAAAAACAGCGTCCATATCAGCTCTTAGTGAGGCTTGATATATTATTCTTTACATTCTATTTAACAGATAGAGATTTAACCATGCTTATCAAAGGCCGACATTTTAAAGTAGTTTGAATAACTATGGTTCACTAGATTTCAATATATGCTAATTGAGACGCTTCATTTCTACTTAAACTTCATCCTGGAAGGCTTCTGATCTGGGATGGCCCAAACTGATTAATTTACACTTCTGAATACATTCTGAAATATTACTTTTTTACGAGGAATGTCAAATATATTTAAAATGGGTCAATTTTAACAGAGAACATGCTTCAACCATTGTATATATTGTCAATTTGATAATGTATAAAAGTTGAGATAAACATCATTTCGTACTCCCATAGTGTGTGTAGCATGTTAGGATTGGGGCATAATTTTATTCCGATTTTTCTTATTTCAGTTTTATTATGAGTTCGGGGACTGTCTGTGGTAACCAAGTTAATATACCCCCTGCCCATAGGTTTTGGTTTAGACGAACAAAATTATTTACCTCAATATTGGTACACATACTTGTGGAGCGCCCATCAGTTTGATTGTTTTTCTATCTTTACATAGCATGTTGAATGAAGATTACTATTGGCCCAAATGACTATATTTAGAACAAAATCTAAATTAAGTACTAATTATTTTTAACGTGTTTTTTTTTTAAAAGAGCCACCGCTAATGTGGCAATCGCAATCTGCAGTACTTAAAATATGGCGGGTGTTTTTTTTCTCAAATATGACATTTTTTCATTAGTGGCTTTCTACAAAATACCCTAGAACAGTGGTTCCCAAATCGCGGGCCAATCACAGCGTAACAATTTAATATGGGCCACCGAACTTGAGTGAAAAAGTATAACACTTTATGTTTTTACCTTTTTGCGTTCTAGATACCACCAACTATTACGTCATTATCACAATTTAAGCATGTGTATATTGGTAACAATTCAATCGCTCCACTCTCCTGGTCTACGAATATCAATCAACTTTGGGAACTACTTTTCTAGAATATAAAATATTTTTGGAATGTATTCAAATATTCAATCTGTTTTGGACATCACTGATTCAGCTTGCTCACTTTATCCCAAGTTATTCATGCTTATTGAACTATCATACTCCTTCATTTAGTAGCTGCCTATACATTATACTGAAGTTCTTTGATGAGTTGGTCGAATTTATGTCACCTGATTTCACTTTTTCCTTTAAATCATGCATGTTCACAGCATTTATTGATTAATAAAATGCAAATAAATATTTATTGGAATATAAAATGTCTTTTCATTTGTAAGTTGCTGAAAAATTTTAAAATCGTGCTATAGTAAAATTAAGTGTCAAGGGCGATGGAATAGAAACTAAACTTGTATTACCAAGATACTAAGCAATTATTTTAGAAAGCAGGGGTTCTGAGTTTATTGCAGGAAAAAAAATTTTTTTTGTATTTTCTCCTTACAAGCGTTTCACTTGCAATAGTGAATATGAAGTCTCCTAATACGAACCAATATCGGACAGAAAATTTTAGATTGTTTCAGCATGCGATAATGCAAGGTTGTCGAACTTAAAGGGTGAATACCTTGGGTACCCATATGCTATTGTTTTAGGAAGACTGTAAAATCAGGGGTTCTAAGTTAACTATGGGAAAACACTTTTTGTGTTTCTATTTTGCAAGAATGTCCAAACATAATATCGGGCTTCTCAAAGATATCTATCAACAGCGAATGATAGATGGGTATAATATCCGATTCTCAAAATGACACATAATTTCCCCCTTGGGTACTTTAATTAATTAATTAATTTTTCAAGCAAGAAAGTGCACAATCACATGTTTTCATATTTCACTTGCAGCACATTGCAAAACATAGTTGAAAAGATAATTGTATTTTTGGAATTTGGTGAGTAATAAGAAATAAAATATCTTAATCCCCTTCAAAAACGTAACATTTTGAAATAGTATGGCTCTATGGGAATTTAGGAATGCGTGGGCTCTAACAGAGATAATAATATACAAATGTAAAAAATGAAAAATTACTAAAATAATTAAACGTTCACATCCTGGGGGAGTCATACACTTTACTTTTATCAGTCCATGTGTTTAAAGAATGATTCCTGTACATTCCACAGACTCCTAAATGTTGGGAAAATCTTTGTGATTTTCCGTGAAAAGTTGTTGGTGCTGATTCATGTGTTGCGGGGAGAATTCCGTAAATACTTGAAGAGGTTTTGTACAAAGGATGTTGTGGTTGATAACTTCCATCCCAAGCCATTTCATCTCTTTCTACTTCCACTCGAGACATGCAGGAAAAAACAGGGTTGCCAGTATTGCTGCATGGTACTGATTTGACAGATTCTGTAGCAATTAAAATGCATCATCAATATTTGATGTTGATAAATAAAAATAATTATCAGTACTTTGGCATAATATTTGTAATAAACTATGAGTATATAATTTTAGCAAATGCTAAGCCATAACTTTGCTCAAAACAATGTCATGTGCACTCACTAATTAACAAAAAGACAGGTCCCGGGCAATGTTCCCTCTAATTTTTTGTAGTAGCCTATGTGTGCGTACTTTTTTGGAAATGACTAATATTTGTGCAAAAACCAATGAAGAAATGTTGGCGTTCTAACCGGGTAATAAGTGGGCCAACAATAAACTTTCTTAACCTGCCAACCGAGCACATTGTTACATTACATCGAAATACGTCTGTGCGCAGTAAATCTATGCGAGTGCGCGGCCTCTGAAAGCTGTGTGCGCGCGCACACCTTAGAGGGAACACTGGTCCCAGGGCAAAGTGACTCCTCAATAGGAAGCCAAGAGCTATGAGCACTATATAAAACGATATAGGTGAGATTCGTATTTCGGACAAAAAAAATTTAAATAGATGAGAAAAACTGAGCTCTCATAATTAAACTAAAACGGATTCTGACTTCGAATACTCCAAATTTTAATTGTAACAACTTTTGCAAATCTTTCCGGAAACTTGAAAAAACATTATGCTGACCATAACCAATGATTTATACTCTAAACAACGACTTGTTTCTAACTTGAACACAAAAGTGTGATGGAGTCCATGCATCTGAAATTACTGGCTCAAATAATTGACTCACTAATCCCATACCCGACATGAACTGGTAATCGGACGAGAGGCTGTGGTTCTTCATATGATTAGGCCGTCGTAACGGCTTTCTTATCCCCAAAATAAATTTGTAAATCCTGTCCTTGAATGGAATTAGTTAGAAAGCCAATAAAAAAACTCACCTAAAGCTTCTTGTGCACTAGTTGGGAATCCAGGAGGATTCAAAACCCCTGGTTCTGCATTTGTGGGATTATTTTCCGTTTGTCCTTCCATAATTTGAGATAAAATAAAGCGCAGAAAACAAGAGCGACAGCAAAGAGGTGGGGAAAGATGACTATCATTACTATGGAAACCATTTACCGCACTTTAGCGCCACATGGTGTGCGGGTTTTCGACTGATTTTGACAGATGGTAGCACATTTTTGATCAATTTTAGCTTTATTTTTGAAAATTAAATAAATTGAACTAACAAGTTGATGAGGTATCAATATATTAGTCATAATTAAAAAACTTCAAACATCAACCATTTCGTCGCAAATGAAACTAGTTACCAGATTTTGTTGACAGCTGCAATACATATCGTAATGCAATTTGTACGTAAACTACCAGTGATAATAGCAATGTTTCATCGAAGTTCATCAGGATAACTTTTAAAAATTTAAACAATTTTTTTTTTGTTACGTTGTATGTCACAAGGTGAAATTGCATATGTACTTCTGTGTCTCATGTTTTAAACAAAACCTCATTTGAAATTTTGGCAACGGAATTTGACAATCCGGAACTTTCGTTTTGTGTTTTTGTAAAATTCGAAACAAATTATCTTATAATATCCATGTAGATTGCAACGAAACAAGAACAAATATCATTATGCCACATTACAATTATTGGTAACTATTCAGAACGTGTGTTAGGTAGTAAACTTATTTGAAATCTGTGAAGGGCGTTATAAAAACACTCATTGCGGTTTACTCGCCCACCCAGTAAACGACGAATGAGTCATTTTGGAGGCGTTTCCGGGTTTAATCAGGCACAGCCGATCAACAAGATTTCGTGCAATGTGATGTCATATTGAAACAACCAGAAAGGTATCCCACGTGATCTGACGTCAGACCACAACAAACATTTGGGCAGCTGATCTGAATGCTCCCTTATTGTATATATCCCTTTTGAATACTTCCATTTTTTTTAATAATTAAAGAGTTTTCCTTGTGGTATACTAATATAAATATATTACTATAACTTATATTAACAGTTAGGTATATCTTAGGCAAGTAAGTCAACTTTTAGGCTTTATTTTTTAAAGAATCAAATACCGAGGGTGAACACTTAGTGCACTCCTCTGTTTACTTTTTGCAAGATCGTCTACTGAGCATAAAGAGATTCGGGAGAGCAAACACACGACGAGAACGCTGGTTGGTTATGCATCGTTTTATTTTAGATTAGAATATTTACTGGTTTTGAACTGGGGAAAGATGAGATTGCGCCATATTGCAGCAACGCCTATATCATTCACCACATTATTTCATTGGGTGAACAAAGAAATAGGACGTTTTGGTATCATTCTGCTATTTTCTGATTTTATTCAGGACTTGTTGAGATTTTTTTTGAGATTCACCACACCAATTTCGATTCTGAAAGCACTGCAGCTTTGCACTATAGCCAGGTAGCGTAGAGATGTTTGACATGACATCAGAAAGCCATAGGAAATTGGTTCATATAGCTATAGAACCCAACAGTTGAAATGCTAAAAAAATGACATTCAGTACTCCAGTAAATTTCCATTTTAATATTTTTAGGAACAATAAGAAGGTGCTTGCTGTATTTGCTTCAGGCTTTTTTGTCACAGTCTGCTGTACAGTTGAAACAGCTAGTGATAATTTTAGGGAAGCTATAAAGTCAGAAAGTGTTAACTTATGCTTTTTCAGTTTTACTTTTTTTCATGTATTTTACAGTCTGAATGACAGAAACTTCCTTTTCTAAGCATGACATTATTCTAGAATATGGATTCATCTGAAACATAATTTTTATGTCCTAGATAAAAATTTATACAGCAAAGTACAATCTGCAAACAGTACCAGAGTACAGTAGTATAATGATTTATTTCTATTATCAGATTACAGGTTTATAGTTCCAATATTTTTCTTAGGGGAGGAAATTGTATGTGACCAGTGATTGTGTGAGCAACCCCTACCTATAGTGATGCCCATTTAAGAGCTTTACCATGTTTTCCCGAAAACAAGACAGAATCTTGTTTCAATTTTTTTCGAAAAATAACACTTGGTCCAATTTTTGGGGAATGTCTTTTATTTTCATTTATCAAAAACAAAATTGCAAAGTATTGAATTACAAGATTTTAAAATATACAAAATGTGAAAGCCGATATTTATTTACTTATAAATAACACATTTTTTTTTTAAAAAGAAACTGACTAGGTCTTATTTTAAGGGGAGGGCTAAAGGCTAGGTCTTATTTTCGGGAAAACACAGTATAGAGAAATGCTTGTTAGATACTCAAATTATAAATGGTCGATATTTTCTATATTTCAGAATTTTTTATGGTTTAAGAGTGAAAACAAATAATGGATCCGAATGATTCGGATGGATCATGGGAGTTTGTGGATCATAAGGTACATTTTACAATAATTTCGTTCATTTTTAAAAAAAGTTGAACGAAATTTTTTCGCAAGTATTTGCATGTATGTATATATATCTTAAAACATTCACGCACAAGCACAGTATATAAGTGTCTTATTTATTAGGTAAGTCCTAGCGAATATTTTGAAATGTCTTACCATATTAGCTGAAGACACACACTGTTTTTCCACTGAAAATACTTCCTCTAGCTTTTTTAAAGATTTGATCTTGCCTGCCTCAGTGCCTCCTTAGCATGGAGCATGTTTATTAAGAGAACTCAATTTGCTGTTTTCACAGATTCTAGTACCCTACACACAATGTCAACGAGCATTTCGTTATTATTTATAGTACATTCATATTATTTTAGCTAGTTATTTTATAGGTGGCGTGAGACAAATTCTAAAAAGGGGGCGCGGCTTAAAAGTTCAAAAACCACTGCTTCAGCCCATTCAAAAATAGCTCAGTGAGAGCATGAACAGAGTGTTGTTCAGAGTCGAAATGTGAAAAAAAAAACATTTTTATAAAAATAATTTAAAAGTATAAATAGTAAAGTAGTGAAATCGTAACTTTTTTTGACTTTATCTCTAGGATTCTGACTCTGACGCATCATCAGTAGCATCACCCTATGATACTGGATTACCAGAGGAAAACCTGGCAACCCTGCCTTCACAAAATGAGGAATCAGTCGGAAGTGCTTGGAATAATCATGATGACTTTATAACGGATAGTGATATAGAAGGTAAAAGGACTTTAATTTGATTCAAAGTTTATGTTTGATTTGCACTTTGTTTATGTTTTGATCTATATTTTGACCTTTGGTATTTTGTCTTGAAATTTACGAATTATGGAATGTATCCTTTTCTGAGTATACTGGCGCGGCACGGCGGTGTGGCTCAACGGGCTAAGCGTTAGGAATACGCTCGCCACCGCACCTCTAATTACTCTGCGTGGGTTCGCAGGTTCGAATCCCATGCAGGAATAGTTATGTGCGAGAGGATTGCTGGACTCTTCGCCGTCGTTGGGTGGTTCACGTAACCGCTGGTCGGTTACGGCTTCCTCCACCACCAAGTCCATGCTTCCGAAAACAAACAATATAACTAATCCCATACCCGACTTGGAATGGTAACCGGACGAGAGGCCGTGGTTCGCCATATGGATAAGCCGTCTTATCGGCTTTCCTCTCCCCCGGGATAAATATGTAAATCCTATCCTACTGAGAATTTTCATATATTTTTCAGCTTGTGCTGAAGAACCTCCCGAGTCGGATGATGGGGATGGAGATATCACACTGAAGCAGGTAAAAGTTAGGAATGAGCTCAGTTGCCTTGAATCTCCTGTGTAAAATTTTTTTTTTTTTTTGGGGGGGGGGTAATATCATGAGAGATCAGCAAGGGGGTGGGAGATAGCCATGGGGGGCGCAGTCGGAAAACTTTCTCTCTTGAAATGTGTAAAAAAGCATTTTTTTGTTTTAAAAATAGCAATTTTAGTAGCTTGAAATGCTTTTTAGACTCTCAAAACTCTTGAAAACCACATTTTTGGCTTCTGGTCGGTTCCGCTAGTTGTTACAGTCTGACTTAGCGATTAGAAATTTCAGAATCTCCAAGCCCCCCCCCCTTCTTTGAAAATTCCTGGCTATACCCTGCTGCCAAGGCATATAAATGGATATATTTGCCAAAATTTAGTAGAATTTTTTTTCGGTATCTTGTCACCCATGATAATGAAAATTTAATATTGTTCAGTATTTGCATAATATATGGGCTTTGTTATTTGCAAGTTACATTGGCCTAAATAAAAATTAGGTAATTTGATAAAAACTGGTTGAATTGTTTCTCAGGATACCCTGCCTTCATCACCACAGATTGATAAAGATGACTCGACACCTGAGATGCAAAGTTCTGGTGAACATGGTGAGTCGATTTTGAAGGTTAAATTTTTTATTCAAATCTGGGATAGGATAACAGTGGTTCCCAGCTGGGGCCCGGGGCTAGCCAAGAGGGCCACAGAGCAGTTGGAGGGGGGCCATAATGCTGGATGTAAAACTGATTTTTTTTTTCATCTCTAAAGAAAATTCTTCGTTCTTCCTCTTCGTGCTTGATAAGGTTACTTACACCAATCAAAATAACACCATAAATACCATTGGAATGATAAACAAGTGGGCCATAAATGCCAAAAGCTTGCGGAAGGGGGCCGCGAGCCATATTTGGTTGGGAACCACTCACATATAAGCTAAACATATAGAAGTATTTGTACATGCTCATAGAGGCATGCGAAATAAAATTTTTTAAATATCTGGCATATTGCAATAACCACTATGGTTCAATTTTTTTGCAATTTTATCCACTCCTCGGGAGAAAATTTGCCCATTATGGGAAATGAATTTTGCAAGAAAGAAAGTATGACCAAATAGGGTCGTAAGCAGGTTTTGACAGATGTTATTATGTTCTGATTGCAGACAGACTGTCTGTCTAGCATATTTTGCTTCATATTTCATAATACAAAGCCAACTATAATGTGAACTGTGATGATGTAGTTGTACATATCATATCGAAATAGTGACCTCTAATATTACTAAAATTATACCCATATGAGGGCAGTTTGACTAGAGTTCTATTTCTATATACGGTACATCAAAGAGACAGTTGGGCATAAAAGTAGGAACTGCCATCAAAATTGCAATTTTCAAGGAATATCAAATGAATTATTAAACAGCGTTCAGTTCAAGTTCGATTCCTTTTGTAATTTCATTGTCATTGATCTAAGAGTGACTTTTAAAATAATTTTCTTTAATCAAGGTGTTAAAAATTCATTTAAAAATGAATAAGATGCATTTTATAGTTAAATATAGCAACAATTAAAACGCCTTGACTTTTTTATTTATATGTTGTTTTCATGGCCTTCACACTGAACAAGGCGTTGCACAAGAAGCCTAAATTCAAGCTGATTTTTTTTCTGGTTTGGCATTGCGTACCTAATATATTACAGCCTGAGTTATTATCAATGAACTACCCAATATTTAGAAAGTAATCGCACTCCCACACAGAAACATTTTATGTGTATGTGTCCTTTAATAACTCCGAACATTGCTACATACAAACAGTCGTTGATTTACACCTAGTCTTTTTGGAAGGGTTTGGATCTTTTTGGTTCTGCATGCCTGCCAAAATATGCAGCCTTGATGAGGCGGCGAAGTTCCATCAACCAACTTCCCAGCATTTATAAAGTAATTGCACTCACACACAGGAACACTTTATGTGTCCTTTTCTCTTTACTCTAGACATTGCTTTCCCCAACAAACATTGATACCTAACGAGCTACTATTATTTTGGAAGGACTAAAATCTTTTCTAGTTTGGCATCACCTACCTAATAATTATCACAGGCTTGGTGAGAAGGTGCAGTATTATCAACAAACCACCCAATATTTAGAAAGTAATTGCAATCACACAGGAACATTTTATGTGTATGTGTCCTTTAACTCCGAACATTGCTACATACAAACAGTCGTTGATATACAAGGATCTAGTATTTTTGGAAGGGATTGAATCTTTTCTTTTTGGAATTGCCTATCTAATATATTACGCCTTGGGTAAGGTGGTGGAGATTAATTGATGCAATATTTAAAAAGTAATTGCACTGCTGATTAAAAGCAAATGATGTATGTTTTGTCAAAGTATTGAATGTTTATACAAACAGACACATTCTCCAGGGATTTTGTAGATAAATAATAATAAATATATCTCATCGCATTGCATATATATATATAAATAGTTATTGACCCTTTCATTTATATTTGTGAAGTGTATATTTATAACCGACTGCTTAATAGCTATGAATAATTTGGAAAGAATCAATTGCTACCAAGATATTGATCCAAAATTAATTAATATTAAATATGTATATATATTTTGGCGGGTGGTACTTGCCATGACCTCTGATCACCCTTGAGGGCTCGCAGGACTCGCAGGATGGGCGGGTTTGAATCATGCGGGGAATACTCATTTGTAAGAGATCACTATACTTCTCACAGCCGTAGGGTGGTTCACGTAACCGCTGGTCGGTTACGTCGTCATCCACCATCAAGTCCATGCATCTGAAACAAATAACTGGCTAACTAATCCCATACCCGACAAGGACTGGTAACCGGGCGACAGGTTGTGGTTCGCCATTTGTTCAATCTGTCATATCGATTACCCTCTCCCTTGGGATAAAATGAGATCTCAGTCTGAAAAATATGTTTCTTCAGGTTCACAATCTTCATCAAGTACAATCACAAAATCAGTGACAGCAATGGAAAATGAAAATCCACCACAAATGGTAGCTGAAACCTGCGATGATATAAATACATCTGCCATATCCAAAACTGACTGTCAGCAGGTATAGTCTTTATTTCTCTGGGTGTGACCGGGTGGATTGATCGATTGCATTAAACATTCTCAAAATGGTAATTGTGGTTTTGTTCAGTTCAAACATCAAAATTTCCAATGGATGACTTATCAATGGATGACGTAGCTACTGGAAATGAGCATTGTTTAGAAAAAATATATTTAAGCCCTTAAATTTGAATTAATAAATATAACCATTCAAATTCATGTATTTTCTGATTAGTTCACTAAGTTTTACCTCTTGTAACTTTCCATTCACTCATCACAGCCGTTATTGTTTTTATTACCTTTATGAATCATGAAATTTACTCATCATAGGTTGCTATGAATAACACATTGTGCTTGTTTAAACTACACACCTTCAGTTAACTCATGAAAGCTTTTCCGAGTCTGTTTTTAAGTTATGTGCACATTTAACTTTCGGAGCTTTGAAATTGAAATTATTAATACATTTCGACCTCTTGTGCTTATAATTATTTTTTTTTCAAATAATAGGCGCTCCTTACATATCGTGAGACATTATTGACTGTTTGTATAGGGCCATGTCTGAAGATAAAGGCATGAGAACAAGTGTCTTATACCAAATATTATCGCTTATAAAAAATAATCCTTTAAATCAGTCCTCACTATAATGTCAAACCCTTTAGTGCAGGGGTCGGCAACTTTTTGTCGCTCACGGGCCAAAATAAAGGTTGCAAGTCATTTGTGGGCCGCACATATTTTTAGAAAGTTGAAAACCGAAAGGATGATACTTTTAATAATAAAAATCAAGCAGTGACATTGCATCTTAAAAATTTTCATTTGAATATTTTCAGCACCATTGAACCTTTGCACTTAGCATCAACTTTTCTGTGTTTTGTTGCCATTTGTCTAATTATAATTAAATTATAGGCTAAGTAAACGAGTAATTGTAAATTTTATCCTTGTTAGATTATGATATAATTTAATCTAAACGTGTCTCGCAATAAATTCTGTTACGTAAAGAATATAATCGTCAAAACAGCTGTTTTGTTACTATAATTCAGTGAAGTATCGCGAGCCGGATTGTATTACTCCGCGGGCCGGATGGCCGTAGGTTGCCGACCCCTGCTTTTGTGCATTTATAGTTATGGGCGAATAAGCTGACCCTTTAGTGTGATCAGAGTTATGCGCATATATGCAGGCCCCTTTCTTTTTTTTGAGTTTTAAACTTGGCTTATATGCGAGGATGAATGGTAATTATAATATTGAACGCTTTAATTGGTTTTACATAGTTATTAAAATTCAAGTACTAGATGTCTGTTGCCAGATTAAATCATGCAAAATAAACCAAAATATTCAAAAATACTTCTAACATTTCAAACAACAAATTTTAATTTGCAAATATTCCATTATGGAATTTTATTCCGGTATTGTATTCATGTTTTTTAAGACCTCACATATCATTAAACGTCGAATTGTTATTATACTCTCTTAGTCATTAAAGGAAATCATTCTCGTTTGGAAATTGAGCTTCATCAATTATTCGCTATTACCATTTTTATGTGTGGTTCAGGCCAAATTAAACATGATATTTTATTCAATTTTTCCCTGAATAAAAGTAATGGCTTTCTGTCAGTCATTTGGGCGTTGTGATCCAATTCCTAGTTTGAGAAATAAATTGTTTTTCTCGCTAATAGACTATTTATTTCATGGTACCGAATAATTGAATATGCTTTAAAATCCTTTCACCCAAAGTATTTTTTGGTTTTATAATTCATGGGTGTACTTTCATATGACATTCTGTATAATTCTATTCCGAGGCAGACACTTTCCATAATTTTGGGGTCATAAACTTTGATCGTCAATCAAGAAACACTGTGGCGTGTTGATACATTTTTATGTCACAATAACTTTCGATTTTGTCATTCTCTTAATATTTTAGAATGTCATTTTACTATTCAAATATTTGATACCGCGGGACCTATTTCGCTTTGCTCGGAAATGGTAATCGCACGTCATTAAATCGACCCCTTGAATTCCGGGAGAATTTGCGAGAAAACTCCTGTTCTTCCTAGTTTCATTGCTAGATCGGAGTATTTCACAGAAGGTTTACACTTTGTCGAGCCTATACTGTGAATATGAATGGGATTTTGAATCAAAATAACACTATGAATACCACTGGAATGATGAACAGGGAGGGGGGTGGGGGCATAATTGCTGAAAGTCTACGGAAGGGGGCCATAAGCCATAAAATAAATATTGGGTCCACTGCTCCAAGTATTCATGACAAAACAACTTCGAAGCGCATACAAGGAAGCATGCCCAATAAATCTCCAATTCGATATTGTTTTGCATGCAGAATGACAACACTAGTCCCGAAGATGCTGATCATCCCACAGAGGAAGTGACATCACAGGAAATAACAATTAAAGACGCATCATTAGTTGATGACATCACTGTACCACTCATTGACTCAGGTTTGTTTTGAATTATGATGTAATATTATGAATATAATGACTTTTTCTTATGTATGGTTCATTGGTTTTAGTTAGGCCGTGGATAATAACTATCTTTAAGACTTTCACCTATGTGTGGTTTCAGTTTGGCCGCAGATAATAACTTTCCCAAAGTTTTTTCAAAACCAATAAATGGAGCAATACGTTTTCATTCATGTATTATAATCCTTTTCCACTTTTAGGATAAGATTCATATTTATTATTGGGTAGAGAAAAGCCCTTAAGAATGGAGACGGCTTAATAATAAGGCAAACCACGGCCTCTTGTCCTGTTACCAGTCCATGTCGGGTATGGGATAAGTTTGCCAGTTATTTGTTTCAGATTCATGGACTAGGGGTTTTGTATTTAGGGCAATTGTTTTGGTTTGTGTGCCACAGATGTCAGTTGAGGACACTCTTTTCTTTGAGCCAGTGGTATTGTAACCTAATTAATTTATGTTTTAAATTGGTATAAAATCAAAAACCAACAATAATCTGTCAGATAAATCAAATTATTTGAAATTCCCCAAACACTTCCAATCATTAAAGCCATTGCTTTATCAAATTATAGATTGTTTAATAAAAATAGAATACCCTAATAATTATGGTAATAATAAAAGTCATGAATAAAATTCATGATTTAATTAGACAGGTGTTGTTATAATTGATTTCATATAGTTCATTGATCTATTGCAAATCACGATTATTTCAACTGGCAATTATTGATTTGTTAATCCATTCTCTTGTGATCCATCTAATCTAAAGGTTCCTTAACTTTTCAAAATCAATGCACAATTATTATATTTTTTTTTGTAATACAAATTCGCATTGGGAAGTAAATTTCAATGAAATTTTCGTAACACATACACTTTTGGTTATTAAAGTGTACATGAGTTATAACTAACTCCCAATTCTTCCTCAATGCCTTTGCGCTGGTAGATCCGTATGAGTATGATGCAAGGATGCTGTAGCAGGAATAAACATGGCCATACTATGCAATTCAATAGTCCTGCTGCACACTAACACAAATGTATTTCTGTAACGTTTCGTCTGACCAAAATCAGACCTCCTCAGACGGGCATTTACAACAATGGCAAGAAAAGCACAATCAATCTGAGAATTTTATTTCAAACAAATTTATTTATTGTCCTATTTATACCGCATGATTGTTCTTTTCTTGTCATTGTTGTAAATGCTCGTCTGAGGAAGTCTGATTTTGGTCAGACGAAGCGTAGCAGAAATACTGTACTCTTGAACTCTATAGTATATATGAGTTACATATTTTTTGCACATAAATGATCACAAATCGTAATAATATTCTAGAATACTGAATTATCGATTTTTAATTGCAGAGCAAACACCAGCTGTGCTAGAGAGTCTTCAATTGCCTCCCATATCTTCAGCTTCTTCAGAATCATCCGATTTTGAAAGAATCGATTCAACTTCTGATTTGACTTCCGTCACTACGAACTCTGACCTGAACTTTGAACCTGATGTTATACAAAGCTTGGATTTGAAACCTGAGGAGGGGGAAGTCCCTTCAATTGAGATTGAAAGTTTCTCAACCGGGGAGGATCAGGATAGTGATGAAGGTAATGAGGTTTAATATTGTCAGAACTTTTTTACATTAAATTTGTTGGAGCAGAGGTTCCCAACCGCGGGCTCGTGGCTCACCAGGGTAAGGTTAGTAAAGGATTTACAGGGTGATTTCACTTTGTTGATGAATTGTTTGAACATAATGAGATTTGGGAGGATCAGGATAGTGATGAAGGTAATGTGTGTTTTTACATCTAAATTAAGTTATTAAGGGAGCAATAAAGAAAAGCCAGATCTATTTGCTCCAATATATAGTTGATAGTTGTGGAAGGACTGGAAACATTCCCATTTCGGTACTTTCCGTCCTTATTATTTTTGTAAATTTTTCGTATAGAGTTCCGAGCATTTGTAAGGAAAGCTAGGAATATTCACACTATGGTGTGATTTAATGGAGTGAATGCTATATGCTCTTCTGTTTAGTACTCCTCGAAAAATTACTTCAGCTGAAGAAAGTACTATACAAATAAAAGCTGATTGGCTGTTCATTTTCCATGAATTTAATATTTAGAAACAAATTTTTGACTAGATGTGAAGAAAGCTATATAGATTATTTTAGATTATTTTTTTATCATCTATCTTGGTTAACTTAATTTCAGTTTACCCTGCTGTGATGCGTGTTATCTTTGACATTTTTTTTCTATGAAAATGTTACTTTTATTAATAATAGTGAGAAGTGTCTCAAAATCCTTCAAATTCATCATCACTATCTCTGTCAAACTCCCTAAAGAGAGTAATGCGCATATAAGCCGGATATTTAGTGTGATCTGAGTTATGCGTGTATAATCCGACCCTTTAGTGTGGCAACTTTTTTTTCAGTTTTAAACTCGACCTATATGCGAAGATATATGGTTTTAGATAGATAGTTCTGAATCCCCTCCCCCGATGAAGTTTGATAGATTGTGTTAATGACATTCAAAACAGTTGGCCAAACTATGCCATTTTTTTACTTGGGCTTGGTTTGCTATAGATAAGCTTAGTAGCCATTTACTACCTGAAGAGGAAGTTTCCTCTCTCGCAATGGTTTAATGTTTTTACAATGACAGTTGCAGTGTTGTCGTCTGTGCTTCAATAAACCTTTAGTAATGTTTGTATTGATGAATCATTCTTTTGACATAAACTAGTGCAGAACAAAGAACTTTGGTTGAACAGTAAAACTTGGTTTAAAGTTTTGTTCTAATTCGAAATTTAAAGATTGGGGTTATCAAGTTCATGCATATGCAAACAAATAACTGGCTAACTAATCCTATACCCAACATGGTCTAGTAACCGGACATCGCCATATGATTAAGTCGTCTTTTTGTCTTTCCCTCTTCTGAGATAATAATATAAATTCGAATTCTAATATATCGAAATGGAACTGATAATTCATGATCTATGGCTGTTTTCTGCAACTTTTGTAGCCCACTGCTCTTGTACAAATATACCTATTTCGCCTTTAAACATATTTCAATCAGCTTTTTTTGCCATGTTCAATAATAAAGACCCAACAAGGGAGGACAGAAGAATAAAAGAATTGAACAAATTGCTTAAGAGTAACATAGTCATTGTGAAAAGTACTGTGCAGAGGTCTTTGCTCGTGGCTTCCCAGTAGACTAGGGCCTGGTTTGGAATCTCAGGTTTGATCAATTCTAGCACTAGCACATACCAGATTGAACTAAATTAAAATCTCGTCCCGCGGGCCGTACAATTTTTCCTTGTGGGTCCCATTTGGCCAGTGGGCCGCAGGTTGCACACCCCTTCCCCTAATGGTTTGGGTGTGTGACCTAATATCCCAGTTTATTGCAAGTATGAATTCTTGGGTTCATGCCCACCATCTCGTCCCTGAAGCAATAGATTGGGTATGCATTGCCAACCCTCCTAATGTCTTTCCAAAAGTAGTTTTTAAATATTAGCACAAGGCTGCATCACCACATTAACAAGATCAAATGCTTTAATGTTTTTGTTGTTCATGCATTTTGTAAAGTAAAATAAACTTTAGATTCAAAACTCCCTAAATCTTACATTTTAGGTTCAATCACATTTGCAGTCATCAGTGCCCCTCCACCCACTGAGATCATATCTCATAAGATTGCAACTAGTGTCATTTTTGGTGATGATTCAACCAATCAGAGAAGCGTTGGCATGGTTACGGAAGCTGCATTGGCTAAACATAACCTGGTTGACATGGCAACAGAACCAGACATGGCCAATCAGAAGACTGTTGGCATGGTTACGGAACAAGCTGGACCACCCAATCAGAGGCTTCTGATTTCGTTTATCGCCCTCAGTTTTGGCATGGGATTTCTGCTAGGTAAATGTTCTTGTTTTTTAAGTTCTTGAACATGAAGGATATAAATGGGACCGGAGAGACTCACAGATGTATTGAATGAAGTGAAAATACTTGAAAAATTACTGATTAAAAAACAACAAACCTGGTTAAGATATATTGGGAACCGACTTCGTAACAAAATTTAAATTGTAAAGAGACTTTATGGACACCCTGTTTATCTATTCTGAAGTAATAATCCAAGATCTATTATCTAATAATTAATATTTTCTTCCCAGGAGCAACTGTACCAATGTCACAATCAACAGTGTGGCAATATCCTGAGGAAATAGTTGCTTTAGAAGAGAAAGAGGTGAGGTTTTGTTTGCATTTTTCGTTTTTGGTAATTGGGAAGGACTCTGAGACAATAGTATAGAACAGTGGGGCATGCCCCACAAGGGGGCATAGACAATTTTATTAGGGGGCTTGAAGTGAATCAAAAATTGAAATGTTTGTAGCTTATTTTTAGCTGGTTACTTTTTAAAGTGGGGCACGAGACTTGACTAATTCTAAAAAGGGGGAGCGGCCTAAAAAGTTTGAGAATCACAGATGTAAAACTTGTTTATTACAGGTTTCGATCAGTTATTTCATGCGGCACCTTTAATAATAAAAACCAACAAAAGGAATAAAAATAATATAATCACAATACAGGCAAAGAATGAAACAAATCACAGTTAATTTATTTTAAATTAGTGTAAGCATACCGAAAGGTGCCTATTGAAGGCTTTTGCTGTGGCCGAGATGGGTGGGATGCCTATTTTGAGAAGCTATGTCCTATACAGTCATTTAATCATAATCATATACTACAGTAAAGCAATTATCACCCCCCCCCCCTCAACAAAATCGTAAATCAGGGCTGGGCAAGGTTTTTTAGACCAGAGGCCCACTGAGACTGACTATGTAAGTGTGACGGAAAAAATTACATTTCATGAACAATATTCAAAATGTTACAAAAGCGAAAGTGGAAAGCAATGAGCCTCGTGCCAAATCTAAATTTAACCTCAATCTCAACAAATTCCTTGAGCTATTTCAGCTGAAACATCTAAATTTGGTTTTAGTTTGGTTGTGATAGCATTAGGCGGGCCAGATTGAATCACCCAATGGGCCGGATTCGGCCTGCAGGTTGTAGTTTCTCTATGTCAGTTCTAAATACACCACAGGTTTCAAACACCCAACAAATTTATTATTATTATATATTTAATGATTATAAGTATCACTTGACACAGATATCATGTTATGTATTCAATTATTAAGTACGATATCCAGCTGGTTTCAGGGAATTGTTTATTCACTGTATTGTTCTTATAGGGTATAAGTAATACAATGTATAACAACATGTATGTGACTAAAATTTGCCATCTGCCAGACAGGATAAACAAAATATGACATCGTTCTTGAGTGTTCACTTAAGATACTCGAAGAAGTTAAAAAATAGTTTTTCACCTATATATATATATAAGGCTGGAATTGGCCACCTGGCAGACAGGATAAATTAGGTGTGACATTCTTCTCGAGTGTTCACTTCAAATACCCGGGGATATGAAATAGTCTATTACCATATGCATATAGGAAGCTTGAATTAGGAAACAGAATAAACAAAATATGACATTCTACTTGAGTGTTCACTTAGAAGAGGATTTAATGAATAATGAACTTTGAATAAATACTGAAATATAATTGTTTAATTTAACATGGACTTTCAGAATTGGAATTTTATAGTTAGTCCTTTCCCACCTGGCGGCAGCTTCCTCCACCATCAAGTCTATGCTCTTGAAAACAAATAACTGGCCAACCAATCTTATATCCGACATGGACTGGTAATCGGACAAGAGGCCGTGGTTTGCCATATGATTGTGCCCTCTCATTACCTTTCTTTTTCCCCAGAATAAATTGGTAAATTTTATCCTATCCCCATCCTCTATAATTAATATTAATAATGAATCACTCTCTATTCCAGATACCTCCTTTCTCTCTCCGAGACATCTACAAGGAGTCAGAAAATCCGCTGACCAAGGGAGGAATTGAGAGGAATGACTTCATGAAATATAAACTCTTCGTAAGTAATTGTTTGTCTCTAATTTTGTGAAAGATTTTTTCAAAGAATTTAATAATCATTTTCAACCTGCTTCTCAAATTTTTAAACTGTTTTGTGGGAGGTTTTTGTTTTTGAAGGGAATTTGCTTCAGGCAAGGTCACATTTTCACACTCAGTAAAGTAAAGGAGACTCATCTCTGAGTAAAGTAACAGGCAACAATGCCAAGCAATATTAAAACTGTATAGAATTATGGCGGTACATTACACGAAGCCATAGTATACCATGCGTGATAGGTTATGGGAATTCAGTTTGAATCTGAGACATTTACACTGTAGCACCGACATATTTGTGTCTTGATTATTTGGTTTCTGCGAGACTACTTATCCTTCTTCTATGCTTTTGTGCCGGTGGATCTGTATGCATATATTGCAAGGATGGTGTAGCAAGATAACTATCCTAAGTGATTCAACATTCTTGCTGCATACTAACACAAATATATTTCTGTAACGTTTCGTCTGACCAAGGTCAGACTTCTTAAGACATACATAGTTCGGGGCTCCCGAAGTATGCGAACCAAGATGGCGGACATCGAAATGTAATATGTGTACTAGGTTAGGGTTAGGCCATAATTTTAGGTATAAATACTACGGGAGGCTCTTGGCTAGTCTTCGAACTGATAATAGGACTAAAATGAGGAAAATTGGAAAAAAATCATCGCCTAACCCTAACCTGTTACCCATGTTACGTTCCGATGTCCGCCATCTTGGTTCGCATACTTCGGGAGCACCCATAGTTCAACTCTAACAAGAAAAGCAGTTACATACATATTTAAACAATCAGTGTGTCTGATGCTACAATCACTAGGACAATTTTCCTTACCAATAAGAATTTTGAGGTATTCTGTACCACTACATTTGGAAAGATTAAGTTTAATTATTTTAATGAGAATTTAATATTTTAATCAGTTGAGATTGGCTTATTAAATATTTAATTCTTAATTAGATGGAAAATTCAAGACTTCGTAACAAGAATCGTGGACTTCGTTCAAACATTAGAAAATTAAAAGAAGAAAACAAGTTTATGACAAAACAATCCGATAAAACCACTAATGCAGAAAGGTCATCCATCGCTCTAGCTTTGCTGCAAAAATCGCTTAAAAAAAGCCAGGAATTGAACAAAATAGAATTTGAAAAAAGAGACAAAGAAATAATGAAACTTCAGGTAATCAATTTTTCATATTCTATACCAGGTCTCTTCAAACTGGGGCCCAAACTTCCCCAGCGGGAAGGCTCAATGGGGTGGCAGTACCCATTATAGTCAGAACAAGCCATACTTACTCTTTACCTACACTTATCTATGTGAATCTTTATCGACAATAACTTATGTTAAAACAAAAATATCGAATAAGGTGGAAGATTTGGAACCAGTACTGATACCCGCTTGCACAGAAATGCAGCCAAGATCTGATATTTTGTGCAAGAAGGGAGCAGGGAAAAAACTTGGTCGTGGTCGTGATCCAAAAAAATTTGAAGAACATTGTTGTATATGATGCTTATTTGTGTAAGCAACAAACTCACCCCTATAATATGCTGCCCAGGGTGACTGCCCCCATGGTCTCTCTGTGGACACGCCTCGCTCAGAGATCAATCTAAAATTATGAGTGAATGCAAGTGACCTTGTTTTACGAACTACACCCTGTTTGAAAATGTTAATTTTTTTATTCTAGACCGAATTGCAAGTGGCAGAAGATGAAAATACTTTCATGACAACTAATATGGATTTGTATAAACGACTTCAAGCTCAACACTCTGAATTGACCTCTCTTCATGAGTATGTTTGTTCCATTTGATAAATTTTTTTATTTTCTTTTATATTTCGTCTTTTTTTGTCTTTTACGAAAGACATGAATTAGTGACTTATGAAAAAAATTATCTCAGTTGCACAATTTCATGTATATACGATATTGCTTATTTTTGAATATTACTCTAGAATGTATTTATAATTTTAGGGTATTCGTTCCGAACCATCGCTGCTACATATAACCTCAATAAACGACATATAACATTATATCTCTAGGAAATCACTCAGGGCTCACTCTGAAGAAAAAGCCAGTCTTCTTGAACGTCAACAATCTCTGAAACACCGACTTCATCGATACAGAACTGAAAGTAGAAATCTTATCCAACAATCAAATAAACTCAAGATCCATAACTTGCAATTGAAATCAATTATCCAATCTTACGGTAAGCCTATGTATTACAAATTGCAACACTAATTGTTTTTGAAGCCTAAAAAGTCAGGAGATGTTATGGGCATCCTACCCTGCAGAAGCGCAGCCAGGAATTTTCAAAGATGGTTTTGAAATTTTTGATTTGCCAAGTTAGACTGTAACAGCTAGCAGGTTCAGGGTTTTCAAGAGTCTTAAAAGGGTTTCAAGCTACGAAGGGGGGGGGGGACCTCCTTAATTATTAATATTATTTTAATACCTATTTATGGGCGCATATTAAATTTAAATGAATAAAAACCAGAGGGCTAGTTGCTTGTATCACTTGCTAATGAACCATTAATAATGTAAATGCTTTTATGCTTAATGAGGAATGAATCAGCATTTTCCAAATTTGCAAACGGAGGAATGTGTCAAAAAAATTGTTTCTCAAAGTGCTCCTCTTTTTCGTTTACTTATAAAAAATACTGAATATTTTTAAATACAAAGCAGCAAATACATCCGATTCGTTGAATAAAATAATTTTAGTTTACTCAGGGACATTGATTGGTAGATAACCATGTATTTTTGTTTTATTTATAAATTTTTTGTGGGGCTTCGTAAGTAATAGTCAACCTCTTCACGGGCGTGTAACGGCCAAGTTATAGGGGTTCTTCCTAGGTGTGTGAACCAGGTTATGGTTAGGGCATAATTTCATTCTGATTTTCCTTATTTTAGTTCTATTACGAGTTTGGAGACTGTCTGTGTTAGCCAAGTGAATATATTCCCGGCCCATTGGTTTCTGTCCGTTTACACATCTCGATGTAAAATAGGCGAACAAAATTAGTTACCTCCATATTGGTACACACACTCCTGGAGCGCCAAAAGTATGAGACCCCCTGCTCTAACTTTTCCCTTTTATTTTATTTATAGAATCTCGCCATCAACAACCTTCCACACCATCACAATCTGAACCAACCAAGACCTTGTCTCCTCTTATGCTAGCATTTGCAGCCAGACGTCAGAAAACTTGCCCTTCGAGTTCAAAGTTCAGATCACAGGTCAAATTGTTGCAACTTAGACTCAGGCGACAAAGGTCAAAAATGTGGAAGTTGGAACAAGAAACACATTTGAAGTCAATTGCTTTGGAGAAACTGTACAATACAATGGGAGATTTGAGCAACTATGCTATGTGTCTTGGTCAACAATTGAAAATGCCTCTCAATGAGAGAGCAAAGGATCCCGTAGAATATTGCAGGTTTGTATTAAGAAAGAAGTTCCTTTAACAAAATATTAAACTAGAATTCGGTTGGAAACCGAAGACTTATCGATCGAAGGTTAGGGGATCCCCCAAAACAGTGGTCTTACTCCATAGTGACACCGTGTGTTCCATCACTAATTAATTAATACCTCGCTAATTATATGACATAATTCATCCAAAATCAATAGGCTTCTGATCCGAGCTATGATGAATGCACATGCCAAATCTGCAGCAGATCCAATCCCACTTTCGTGAGATATCGCGTGCATCTAACACACAGACATACAGACAGACAGACAAATACCTATCAACGTACATACCGATCAAGATCGATAAGTAATAACAGTTGGGCCATTGATTTCAATGTATTCACATGTTTGCAGCTTCAGTGCTGTGGGGGGATGATTATGTGAGAGAGGATTGCAGTATAACTCGCCATTGTAAATTAGTTCACATACACACTTGTCAGTCCATGCATCTGACATAAATAACAGGTTAATTATTCCCATACTCGACGTTGCTTCGCAGAGGGATTGGAATTATTTGCACGTACCAAATTAAATTAAAATCTCATTTTGCGGGCCGCACATCATTCAAAACACAATTTTTTCTTGAGGCCCGCGGGCCCCAGTTGTACACCCCTGAAGTAGTGATGAATTCAACATGCTCAATTCTTATCATTCTTGTTTATTTATTTTACAGGTCCACTTCTAGTGAACCCAAGTCTGCTTCTAGTTTTTCCTCATCACCTAAGAACTACCCACAATGCTCTTATCACGTAAATGGAACTCTAGCTGTTGATTTTTCTTCACTGAATGTCACTGTTAAAGGATTCAAAGACACAACAAGCTACAAATTACAAATTTTGAGCGACCGTACGACACCGGCTATTTATTTCAACTCTTCTGTTTTTATTGAGAAGCCTATAACTTTAGCCCCATCTTGTGACAATAATCCTCATGACCTTGATTTGACTTGGACACCAATACAACTTCAGTCTTTGGCCCCAAATTTGTTCCTGCGCACTTGTACGCCCATGTGGTCACTAAAAATGTCCGAGCACGACGGGAAATCTCAAATCACAAAGCAGAGTTCTTGTCGCTGCTAAGAACCATTTCTGTTAATAATCAGTCACTAGATGTCAGTAGAAAGAGACAGAAAATGCGGAAAATCGACTGGTGGTTGCGAATCGTGAATTGAAACGACTACGCAAGGAGAAAAAAGATTTGAACCAGAAATTGAAGAACGTCACAAGTGAACTGAAAAAGGTATATTTAAGTCTATACTCCCTATATCATTGAAAGCAGTGTGTGTATGACATAGGATTATCGTACTCTCGTAGTATGTGTACCAGGTTAGGTTTAGGCCATAATTTTATTCCGATTTTCCTTATTTTAGTTCTATCACGAGTTCGGGGACTGTCTGTGTTAGCCAAGTGAATATCCCCGCTGCCCATAAGTTTCAGTCCCTTTACACAACTTGATGTAAAGTAGGCGAACAAAATTAGTTACCTCCATATTGGTACACATACTTCTGGAGAGCCATATTTATTATGACAGGTATTTATTCATGTTTTTAACTCTGAACAAGGTCTTGTACAAGCAAACATAGGAATAATTTTGTATTAGAATATTGCTGGTCTCTCAGTCATTCACACAGGGTTGGCTAACAATCTTTAAACCCAAATTGCAAGTCATTGGTAAACAAAATCACAGTGACCGTCAAAAACCACCAAAAACCTTGCAGAAACCATAAAAATAAAACCTTACAAAATGTGCAAAAACCAAGGAAAAACATCAAAAATCTTGCATAAGCGTGCAATAACATTGAAAAACCACCAAAACCTTGCAAAAACATTGATCTACTCTAAATTTATGCAACCAACGTGAATAGCGCCTGCAGAAGGCTTTTGCTTCTGGTCCTCTGAGAATTGCTCCACCAGGTTAAGAAATTCTACACTAGGATATCAATTTTTACCTAAATTTGGATTATAAGAATAGTAATCACTAGACCCCAGACCCTTCTTGTCTAAGGCCTTGAGAACACCTAATAAAAAAATAGTAAGACTAATCTGTTTTTTTTTCTTTGCATTTTACAGAAGCCCACCATGAAACAATGTTTGCAGTCTGCATTGGATACTGATCAACTTTTAAATAAAGTTAATGACACTAAAGCTTACAAAAGGGCCACAAAAATGGCCCAAAAAGTGAAAAAAGCAACAGATGAAGCTTGGGATAAACTGAAACTTTTGTGAACAAGTTTGGTGAATCTGATGAGGAAGAATCTGCTCATGAGAATCACCGTGAATTTAGAAATCATCATCATCATCATCAATACACAAGGAAAAGTGGGAATTTCCATGGAAAATTTAAACATGGGCATGAGAAATCTAAATCTTGGAGCAAAAAGCATGAATTTGATGATGATGAGGACTATGATGAATTCAAAAATCACCGTGAATTCAGAAGTCTCACAAACCAAATCATGGAAAATGGAAACATTCAATTCATAGTGAATCTAACAAAGACAAAAATCACAAAGTAGCAGGACCAGAACTCACAAGAAACGCAAAATGAAAACAGTGAAAAATTTTTGGACCACAGAGACCAATTTATCCTGAAGTTTAAAAAAGAAAATGATGATGATAATGGTGAAGATCAAAAATTGTTTTTTAACCGAAGGTTCGAGAAAAAGCAACGAAAAAATGATGAAAACGCGGGAAAAGTACGCCAATTCGGACCGTGGAAATGTTGAAGAAGGCAAAAAAGGGGGACATAAGAAAAGTAATGACAAGTTTCAACCGAAGGAAAATCATAAGAAAAGGCGTCACCAACAAAAATGGGGGAGGCGTACTCAACAATTTCGTGAAATGATTGGGAAACATGTCAACCTAGCAAAAGAACCTGGAAAAAAAGTCGCCACATCACTTATGCCGATTTACGATAAATGGCAGAAAGTGTATTGTGATATTGAGAAGAAAATTTTACCAAAATCATTCACTGAAATTTGGGAATCTCTTGGCAATGAAGAAAGTATGAGAAATGTCATGTATGGACCAGTTTCTGAACATGGTGAACGGAAGAAATCAACTGTGAATTGGGGATGGGAAATATGTAAGTTATGCATCTTCTTCTTATACAGGGTGGCCGCTAGAAAAACAGAAAATTTGATGAACAGCTATTTAACCTTCATAAAATTTTTTAAAAGCGCGGCGGTGTGGCTCATCGTGCTAAGCGTTAGGAATACGCTCGCCACTGCACCTCTGATTACTCTGCGTGGGTTCGCAGGTTCGAATCCCATGCAGGGATGATTATGTGCGAGAGGATTGCTGGACTCCTCGCCGCCGTAGGGTGGTTCACGTAACCTCTGGTCGGTTACGGCTTCCTCCACCATCAAGTCCATGCTTCCGAAAAACAAATAACTGGCTAACTAATCACATACCCGACATGGGCTGGTAACCGGACGAGAGGCCGTGGTTTGCCATATGAATAAGCCGTATTATCGGCTTTCTTCTCCCCCGGGATAAATATGTAAATCCTATCCTATATGTTATATTACATTCATAGATGCTCAAAATGTCGTCTGTGCACTTCGAAGCAGTGTCTTAACATAGAGTCCAAGCTTGTGTAGCGTTTTGAAGGTTAACTTCAGAGATATCGTTCCAATTTAACCTCAACCTATACACATTTTATTCATATTTTCATCTGACCCTCGAACTTTCTGTTTTACTAGCGAAAACCCTGTATTATTAAATTCCTCCAAGTGTCTCATTTAAAATTATTTGCTGAAGTGTTCCATGTTAGGGGCTGGTTAAAAGTTCTATAGACAAGTTTGTTCAAAGGTCCTGATCCCTCAACTAAAAGAGTGAAGTATAAAGAGTACTCATTAATAAGTAGCACGTTTTTCCTAAAAATCTCTAACCCTCGGCTGGATTATAATATTTCATTTTTCTCTCAGATAACAACTTCACTGACCTGATGGCTCCCGTAATCCAGCTTCCAGAAAAGATTGAATTCCCATCTTGGGAAACTTCTGAAGAAGAATTAATTCAAGAAAGTGATGATGATGATGATGATGATGATGATACTTTTGACGATGATGAGGATTTGCTTTTTGAAGGTCAGTTTGCACTTGAGAATTGAAAACGAACCTGCTGAAACTTCTTTCAGCTCTAAAGCCATGGTCCGTGGATATAATGACAAAATACAGGGTGAGACTTGCTGCAGGGTCGGATCTACGAGATTGCTTATCACAAATAGCTCCAAAAATCGATAAATTGTGCAGTGAAAAGCAACCTCATCCATCACATTAATGTCGTTTGTGTTGTAAATGAAACACTAGCCTTTTTTGTTGGCTAGCCACAGAAATTGGTACAAGATAGTGTTGGAGTCGTCTGTTCGTATGCATCTTGGGAAAGTTTGGGTAACCCTATGCTAATGTACAAGGAGAAAACTTTGTGCTATTCCGTTGTTCAGTGTTAAGGATATGCTTGCCATCTCTTTTGATTACCCTTTGATTCGAATATTGTAGAGAATAATTATATGCGAGAGGATTGCTGGATTCCTCGCCATCGTAGGGTGGTTCGCATAACCCGTTTTCGATTATGGCTCCCTCCACCAACAAGTCCATGCAACTAAGGCAGCTGGTTAACTATTCTCATACCCGACATGGAATGGTATCCGAATGAGAGGACGTGTTTTGCCATATGATTTCCTCTCCCTCAGGATAAATGGTAAAATCCTAATTCATTTCCTCTTTACATCTAAATACCATAATAACAGAGTTTTTAAATTTTTTTCTCAGATGATGAACAAATCACATTGGAAGACCCACAATGGTTTACACATATGTTCAAAGCCAGAGAAAATTTGAGAAAAGATTGGGGGGATTCCCCACTTTCTGAGGAGGAGTTTGACTGGTTTTTACGCATGTTCGAAGGCAGGGAGGAACTTCGCAAATCTGGAGAAAAGTATCCGAGTAACCATAGAAACGACAACGAGCTTGACTGGTTTTTAAAAATGTTCGAAGCTCGTGCCCGACTTCGTTTCGAAAATAAGGAAGACGAAAAGAACTGGTATCTTAAAATGGCAGAAGCTCGCAACAAAGCAAGGTCAGAGGTCGTTTATGAGGGGTCAGAGTTCATCAATTGGTACGAGAAAATGTCAAAAGCTAGAGAAAAACTTCGCAAACAACAAGAAAGAAAAGTAACCAGAGATGAACAAAATGGTAGGTAGTGTTAATTAAAAGTGTTGTTTACTATTTTTTTGTTGTGTTTTGTTTGTTCTAAGTTGTGTAAAGGGACTGAAACCTATGGGCAGGTGGTATATGATCCCGAACTCGTAATAGAACTAAAATAAGGAAAATCGGCATAGAATTCTGGCCCAAGCCTAATCTTGTACACACACTACAAGAGTACCGCAGCATTTATTTGTGTGTGGTAAATGGATGCCCCTTCACCATTTGCATGCAATTTTGTTATTTTGCCCCAAATTATTTTCCACTCTGGTCGAGGTTGTGGGTATTTAACTTTTATGCATGCTCATTTATGATTTATGTTTGATTGTGTAAAATTCCTTTAAATAATTATTTCCCTGTTCTTGGGGACTTCATATGTTTTCTTCTATGTCGCTATTTGTGTTGTTCACCCTTTGCATGTCTTATACCTATCACTCGTCAACACATACAAATCTATTAGCACCAAGTCAAAGGGAAGTCAGAAGTTAGGTGCAGTCTGCTTCATTCAATTACATCTTCCAATGCATGTTTGTTATGTTTTTTACTCTCTTAATTCTAATTAGGTGATTGGTTTCTGAAACGAATGAAAAGCAGACAAAAATCAAGAGAATATGATGACGGTTATGATTTCCAATCAAGGTTGCACTTTTTTATAAGCTTGTTCACGACTTACATGGCCCTATGCATCAGCCGTTATTTTTGGGAAGATTCCTTGGCATCGAGTATCCAATTTATTACATCCTAGGTCTGTGGTATTCAAAATGGTATTGCTTGTGGCCCCCTTCCGGAGGCTTTTAGCACTCATGGCCCCCTGTTTATCATTCCAGTTGTATTTAGTGTGTTATTTTGATTGTTAGATTTCAAATCTCATTATGTTCAAACAATCCAGCAAGATGAAAACACTCTGTGAAATAACCTCATCAAGCAATTAAATTAGGAAGAGCAAGGAGGTTTTTGTTTATAAATTGAAAAGCAAAATCAATTTTGCGTCTAACATTGTGGCACCCTTGGGGGCACGGACCCTCACTTGGAACCACTGTCCTAAACCATCACACTCACTAATTTTCTGTTATTTTATAATAATATCTTGTGTGCAAGAAATCCTAATTGAAATATAATTATTTGGAATGTAATTGGATGCATGGTTCATTTTGGACATCACAAATTTGCATGGCGATTCTTGATTGTAGCACCCTATTTGGGAGGAAAGTATGAGAATACTTCATAAAAAATATTGCCAATCTTCATCTCAGTAATAATATATGGAAAATCGACACTCCAGAAGTATATGGAGGTAACTAATTTTGCTTGCCTATTTTACATCAAGTTGTGTAAAGGGACTGAAACCTATGGGCAGGGGGTATATTCACTTGGCTAACACAGACAGTCCTCTAACTTGCAAATAGAACTAAAATAAGGGAAATGTGAATAAAATTATGGCCTAACCCTAACCTGATACACATACTATGGTAGTTCCGCAAAATAACCTAAATTATTTTGAAACATCTAAAATCTGATTTTTTTCACATTTCAGATGAAAAATGGTGCCTGGCATAAACCATTGCAGATAAGAAGTAACTGAAAGAAAAAAAACAGCAAAATTAGTGAAAAAAATGTGTATTTTTGACAGTATTCAAAGTGATATAACTTATATATTTTCATTCACATTTTAGATTTAAAATTATGTCTAAGGTCTTGCATCAGTAACTTTTTGACCTTTATTTGGTGATTTAAAAGTTTATCAAAACTCATGTTTCAAGATTCTACGCCAAGCATATGCTTCGAACTGTTCGAGAAGTTTGGCTAGCTATCTCTACAACCTTGCATTGTCAATGTGATGAAGTTTATTAGTTGTAGAGATAGCAGCCCCGCTCGATTATTGACTTCTCAAATTTTAAGGCAGTTTTCAATTGTTGTGCACCAATGGGTCTCGAACCCCATGGGTATCTAGCTCACTATCATCTCCTATTATTTCACCCTGTAACCATTTATGTTTTATTGTTCAAGTATATGTCATTCGTGTATAAAAATGCTTTAACACAGCTTCTCAGATGTTGTCTCCATTCGTCGCCTATTATCCTATTATTTTCCATTGAAACATTTTTTGTTTTGTTATACATAAAAATGCTGTCACAGCTGGGTTAGAATTACCCTCTGGCACCCTCGGTATCCAACTTGCTATTTCTCACCTATTATTTTCACCCTTATAACCATTTCTGTCCTGTTGTGTAACTATATATCATTTGTACATAAAAATGCTGACACCACCGGGTCTCGAACCTTTGGTATGTAACTTACTATTTCACTCTTATAACCAGTTTTGTTATGTAACTATATATCATTTGCATATGAAATCTCTTACCAATCAGTATTAAGCACAGACATAGGAATTGTCTGTAAAGTCTGTCTGATGTCATTACTGTAAATTTTGTCACAAATTGATATCTGAGTAATTTGAGAACATGGAAATTATGTCTGAATGTTGTCCAATTCACTTGAGACTAAAATCCTTAACATACATTTGCATTTATTTTAAAGTACACATCTAGTGTAGCTGCCCTAATATCATACCTATGGTTTATATATGGCCCCAAGGTTCCTTACATAGAAGGGGCATTGTCTTTTCACTGTGTTTCCCCGAAAATAATACAGGATCTTATTTTAATTTTATTGGATGTCTTCTATTTTCATTTACCAAAAACATAATTACAACAAAGTAGATAATTACGAGTTTTTCAAATATATAGATTATTATAAATCGATTAAAACGTGTAGGAAGGATTTTAGCTATCGATTCGACCTTATTTTAAGAGCAGGGCTCAGATTAAAATCATTTTTTAAATTTTGACTAGGCCTTATTTTTGGGGGAACACAATAGTATTTGAAATCTGATGTCACCTAAAAATGGACTTCATTTAACTTTTGACTCTTGAAAAAATTGAAAATCATTCAAAACATTTTGTATCTCAACAATTCTTTCTTACTAAATTGAATGTCAACTCTGATTGCATTGATTGCAACCATTTGCTGTGATAGGTGCGCAGGACATGTTGTGATTTGTAGGATCAGCTTATGCTAATTTTTATAAATTTACTGTTTTAAGACGTTTTTAGGGGTCGGCGATATTCGGTATTATATTTTATAGTCTCATATGACCACGTATCAATTTTTGACAAATTTTCCATTGCATGTTCCATCGTTGTCACAAATAATCAAAAACATTATTATATCATCAAAGATTTTTTGTGTCAAAATTCACCAAAAATCAAAACCGTAAAAAATAAATGATTTGGCCGTCTTTTAAGTTCCATTTATTAAAGAAAATCATATTCTATTACTCAGGCACACACTGTCTATTGTTCTGTAATAATTCTTCATTTGTCATTTCATCATCACTATTGGTATTGTTTGTTGTTCTTTATATCTTAAATACTAACGCTGGTGTTCTGTTGGTCTGATATAAAATTTCCATAAAACTATCGTAACCAGAGATGGACTCTCCTGCATTCAATTTATCAAAAATTGTATCTGTATTTTCGAACTCTTTTTATGAGTAATTTTGGACATTTAATATCATCATCATAATGAGGTATTCAAATTTGGCAACGAGAATTGTCTTTCCTTTTGACTTCCTTTACTCTTCCTTTATGCCTTTGGTTTGGAGGATTCGTTTCATTTAATGCAAGGTTGCTTTAGCACAGTGGTTCACAAACTTTTTAAGCCATTCCTCCTTTTTAGAATTTGTCAAGTCTCGCGCCCCACCTCAAAAAAGAACTAGCTAACAATAAGCTAAAAATAACAGATAGTAAGGTGAAAGTATGCATTATTCAACAACGAAAAAACATAAAAATCAGTGTGGATCCAACATACCAAATATTTTTATTTTCAATTAGTTTCACGCCCGTCAACTTGTTGGGCGTGCTCCACCGTTTGAGATCCACTGCTGTAGCAGGAATGAATTTGACTCTTCTACGAGATTCTTGCTGTGCACTAATGCAAATGTATTCCAACCACTTCTGTGGCAGGAATAATTTTAACTATTCTACGAGATTCTTGCTGTGCACTAACGCAAATGTATTCCTATGATAAGCCTGCCCAATGCCCATAGTAATCTATTTTCATTCATACAATCATATCCATCGCCTATAAAAAGCATCCTATTCTGGCACATTATCTCCACTTCATTCTCATAAATTTCACTTGTACATAATACATTGACTTTGTCCTATTAACCATCCATTTTTTCCATGATTTCATCGATATATCTTTCACTTTGTAGACATTCATTTTAGCTTTTTTGGTGTTCGTATTATATCTTTCTCATGAAGCGCTATTACACAGCCCTATTTTTTTCTTATATTTTTTTCGTGTGAGTTTTATTGTACAATATGTTATCTTTATTGTTAAAAATTGATAAAAAATATTTTTTCGTTTATTTTTGGGTGTACTAGTAGATATTACTTTATTCTAAAGCTTATTTTTGATGTTTTATCATTTTGTATATACTTTGTTTTATTGGCATGTTTATATAAGCACTTCTTGTACTTGGAAACTGTTTGTATTTTTGCTTTTTTATGTTGAGTATTCATGAGTTGTTTTGCCCTGAACATGGCTCGTTACAAGCTGTCATTCTTGTGTAGGAATTTACTGGGCGCAATAGCCTAACAGTGCTTCTCGGCCTTTTTGAATTTCTAATATTAGTGGCAACTTGTAGTGAGATTCATTTAGAATTAGAGTGTAAGAAGGTGCCTCGGACGTAATTTAATAAAAATTGGGATTCACAGTGTTTTAGTGGATAATCATGAAATTGAAATATAAGATCTTTACTTAATGTGCCTCTGTAGTTTAGATCCAATGCTCCTACGCCTCCAAACTTCCAGTAATTTTTTTTTTTAAATTATTAAAGATTTATTTAAAAAAATTAAAAGTCCACAATAAATTATGTCAGTATCTCATGAACCTTAATAAATTATAGTAGGATAAGTTTTACATAGTGTGAAAGATAATATTAAAGACTAATTATAATTTTAAAATTAAAATAGCACGTTGCGGTTATCTTACAAAAATTGGCAAAAAGGGATGTATAATATATTATTAAAAAGAAATGTATTCACACTAAAACATTAGTTTTATCCCCAAATATGTTTTTGATAAGTTGAGATTCAGGTATGGGCAAAGGAAGCACCATTATTGATCTTCCGCATGTAACTGGCACAGCGTAACACAACCTTAGATGACTCGCCTATAAAACAAGTTCAAATTCTGGGAAATTATTCCAAATATCAAAAACTTCATTTCTTGTTTTTGTTCTAAATTTCGATATTCAATTTTTTCGAAACTGCACTTTTCCAAGGAAAGTTTTCAAAATTGCATTCTATGACACAATTTTAGAAAGACATTATTTTTTTCTTCAATAAGACGAATCTATTGTTCAAATTAGTTTAATTAATGAGTCCATTTGTTTTTTTTTAGTTTTATTGCGGAAATTTTTCACATTTTCAAATGTCATCTTCTTGTTTTATTCTTTTTATTAAATCACAACGGTGATGGGAATTTCATTATGATGTAACAAATACAAGCACAATCTTGTTGGAAATGTCCTCAAGTCATTTTCTGTCATGAAAGCCTGCAGATAAACGCATTGTGAAGGGTTGATAGTCCTGAGGATATCTAAGTGTCTTTAAAAGACTATTTCGATACAGTGACGACATTGAATGACGTCTTGGGGATGTTTAGTGTAAGAAGCCTCCAGTTCTAAAACGATCTCTCAGACAGTTCATACAAAAATCTGGTTAACTATTATTCCCTTGCCCGGTATGCTCTTGGCAACTGGACAAGAAGCCGAAGGCACCCATATTACGAAATTGGTTTTTATTACTCCTGGGATAAATATCAGAAATTTCATTTTTATATATCATTTTGGTGTCTGAAATCAACGCCATTTAATCTTACCAATGTATCTGTCTTGAAAATGGAAATGAGTTAACGATACTTTTATCAGGATTATTCAATTTGAATAATATATATATTATTCTCAACATGTTCGATACTCAATAAACTTAAAATTCATGCGCGCATTTCTTTTGCTGTTAACAAGCAGGTATTCTAATAGTTTCGACTAGTACTGTTCCAAGTCCTGCGCGTAATTTATTACAAATTAAACGCTTTCTGTGGTACTATCGGACCAATCTCGGTACTTGAAGTACTTCGTATAAATTGAACTATTTTATGTGATGCACCAACATAAATATATTTCTGTGACTGATCGTCTGACCTTATTGCATTTGAGGAAGTGATTACTTCCTGTTGTTTACTCTACAACTAATATCGATCCCGCTTTGTTTTCATTCGTTACAGACAAGCACTCTTGACATGCTCGTCAGCGAAGCTATCGTTAAATGCAGTGTTGCGGCAGTTAATATTTAGGTGCTTATGAGGAATATTATCAGTTTGTGACAGCCATTGGTAGTAAACTTGTAAATGGAGGACAGCAATTTTTGCACTCTTTGTCTTTTATTGTGGTAATATGAGTTAAAACAATCCCGATTTCGAAAAGTGCGGTTTATCTCATTTGCTCCAGTATTGAATTAAAGTTACTTAACATACGTTTAACAATTCTATGAAATGCTGCGGTTACTGATTTACGAAATTCTGTCTTCGTAAACTAGAGATCCGCCTGTTCAAATACTCCTAACCCTAACCCTGTATATGCCACAGCACTATAAAGGCGAATACTAATTTATTGGTACTCCCGTAGTATGTGAACCAAGATGATGGACACCGAAACGTAGTATGTGTACCAGGTTGCGGTTAGGCCATAGCTTCATGTACAAATACTACGGGAGTCACTTGGCCAGTCCCCGAACTCGTAATGGAACTAAAATAAGAAAAACTGGAATAAAATTATGGCCTGACTAACCTACATATACTACGGGAGTACCATTTTATCCAAGTCCATGCATTTCGAATTATTATTTACTGTTCTCGTTCATGACTTTGACCATTAACTGGTCGAACAGTTAATGATACTATGAAGCCGTGTTATCAACTTTAGATATTGTTATTTTCTAAGTCAGCACTAAGTACCTGATTTGAATTCGTTGATGCTCTTCATCTTAGGTGAGGTTAAGATAAATTTTATTTGCCCCGCCTTCCAATTTATTCAAACCTGACATGCGATGAACAGAATTAAAGGCAGCATGCCAGAAAACTCGTGCTGGGCTATAACAACATGGTATCCGCCATTTGTATCATCCAATATACAGATATATGGAGTCCATAAAGTCTTAAAATGATTTGAAATTGCAGAGGGAATTTATCGATACCATGTTTTGTTTGGGCCATCATAGAATTATTAAATGAGGTAAAAAACATAAACAGTTACTGATTAAAAAACAACAAACAAGGATATATTGAGAACTGACTTCGTAACAATAATATCGAATTTAAATAACTCGAAAATTTTAGTACAAGTTACTACTTTTTTCGCAGTAATCTATCACCCGTGAGAATAGCATGTCGAATACTTGAATTTCCCGCAGGCTGTCTTGTTCGACTGGTGATTAAATTCATGGTAGCAATGAGCATATATCACAAGTGACAAGTTTAGTCGCAGGTACTAGCTTTGATTTTGTTCATCACAAGATAATTCACTCGCAGTAATTTCCGCTTATTCCGCTTATACGCGATCCAAAACAAGGCAGCTTAGAACTTCAGTGAAAACCTATGTACAGTGCAATCTTGTTGATACATCGCTACTAATTTTTTGACCAGTTTTTTCAATTCTTGTTCTTAAGTTAATTCGCTCAATTTTATTCGTGGTACTAGGTACAGTATAGTTTACAAGCGATACAAGACGAGTCAGTTTGGTTAGTCAGCAGATTAATTTATACACTCATGTGCCAGCTTGTTGATGCTTCGCGCGACTAATTAGCTTGCACTAAATTTTGCTTACACGCGAACCAAACCAAGTCAGTACAGTCAGTGGATCTTTTGTACAAAACCCCCGTTACTAATCCAAGATTTGAGAAAAACACGTAGTCATCATAGTAATATAAATGTATAAGAGATAGCAGACCAATAACCAGCGGTTACGTGAAACACCCTACGGCGGCGAGGAGTCCAGCAATCCACTCGCACATACCCATCCCCGCATATATCTGAATCCAATTTATTAATCATGTTTATGATGTTACACTGCCCTGCTAGCTTGTGGGAAGTGAACAACGCTTGTCATAAGATCAATACCCAAATGTTTTGTGCTCGTAACTAATATAAAAGCCTATGTTAAGTAAAGGGCGGTGCGTGGTTCTACCCAGTTATTTGTATCTGGCTCTCCTGAATAGGCAAAGGGAAGAATTCAAAGGAAAAGATTGAGAGCAACTGGATTAGTGGAAGTCATATTGTCATATAGTCAACTCTCACTGACCAAAATGGATTTGTCTAATAACGAAAGTATATATAACTTTGTACTGAAAGCACGTGAACGAATAAACGGCCATGTATGGACGACTCCTTTGGAATTTTCTGATTCTTTAGCGAGAGAAACTGGAGCGAATGTGTATTTGAAATACGGTGCGTAAGTAAATGTATATATATACTGATGGATATTGTGTTAATTCTAACTGCCCCTATTATTACTTAGCAATTTTAATCGGTAAGTATGTTGATAGGTATTTGTCTGTCTGTTTGTTTTCCTGTCTGTCTGTTAGATGCACGCGATATCTCACGAAAACAAGATTGAATCTTCTCCAAATTTTGCATGTGCATTCATCATATGTCGTACCAGAAGCCTATTGATTTTGGATGAATTATGTAGTATAATTAGCGAGTTATTAATTAATTAGTGATTGAACACAAGGTGTCACTATGGAGTATGAGCGCTGTTTTGGGGATCCCCTAACTTTCGATCGATAAGTCTTCGGTCTCTGACCGATATTCTCGTTTATATCATTACGGAACTCGCCCGGTGAAAAGCAATCGCTGCTTTTAGCTTTGGCCGTCACCCCCAAACCGCCTGCGTTAGTATAGAAAAATCCTATGTAAAAGTTTTTTTCGACAAAATGGTTTCACCGTTTGTGTATTCGTTTTTAGCCAGGCGCACACCCAGGGTGTGTGTGGGGAGGGGCCCGCTAGTTGACAACTTACAATAAGACGGTTTTTATCATGTGACACGGACTCTCGCCCTATTACCAGCCCACGTGGAGTATGGGATTAGTCAATTTGTTTTAAATGCACCGACTTAATGGTAGGGAAATCCGATCAGCGTTTACGTAAACCAGTCTTGGACGAGACTTACATTTGAAATGGGTCTGAGCTCATTCAGGTAATCAAGTATTAATATTCGATTTGATTTACGGAGTGCCCAGTTCCATAAAATCTTATGAATTTGACGGTGCGATATCAAGCTACCGTATATATTTGTTCGTAATTTCTAGAATCAGAGCAAATCAGCGGGACCATGAAGGCAAGAGGTGCGTTTAATAAAGTTCTCAAGGCGTCAGAAGGGAGGAGAAACCAAGAGGGTTGCATGAAAAAATTCTTTGCTGCCTCCGCTGGAAATCATGGAATGGCAATGGTGAGGTCAAACTGTATTAATTGTGTGCATTTAAAGCAGGGTTGTTTCCGAAAATGTCGATATGTGCTAATATTCCTGCGCCAGAATGCGCACTTGTTGGTCTTGCATTAAAATCGTAAAAATTATATTCTGACCGGAAACTGATCTTGAACTAGCCATAATCAAATTTTCATAATCAGCAATACTGGTTCTTTAATTATTTCTTACCATTTTATATAGTGATATTCTCTTGAATTAAACGCCAGGGCAGATAAATTTGTGGTGAACTTATCATTTTACAAGAAATTGTACATTATAAAAATGATTATTACCATGGATGTCAATGAACGGTCAGAATATATTGTAACCGGTAACCATCTAAAATCGCTTAACCATTCCCAGCCCTAGTATTATTATATTGTCTATTTGTGTACATATTATAAACTACTCAAACTGTTTAAACGTTAGATTGCGAATTACGAAAATTCAAAATAATGTTTTGTTGACGCAATCAACCAACAAATGGGAGAGCGGTGCTTAAAATGGACACGAGGGGTCAAATGACTATAAATTACCACCCGAATATGATAAGAAAATTGAAAATTGTTTTCTCGAACGTCACGAGTCCGCGAAGTATAATCCATTAAAGTTTGGTGTGGAATATTGGGCCCCGTAAAACTCGGAGAAAGATTGAAAGCATAGCTTTCTGGCGACCCCTTTTATCTTTCAGTTCAGGATGTTTAGTTTCAAAGTTTTTGATTACAGATGTACGCTCTGAAATCACGGCCAGAAAAATGTGCAGTTTACGTCCCAACAACCACACCTCAAGACAGAATTGATCGGCTCCTGTTGCACGGTGCTGAGATTCATAAGGAAGGAGACGATATGGCGGTAACGATGACCCTGGCTAAACAAGCCGCAGAGGTGGGTAGATAGGGTAGGACAATGCGTATATTTATCTCAAGCGTCGTCCTAGTTACTATAACGCGCGATTTTAATTCTACAACTATCAAAATACGGTACCATTGCAGGTTTAGATCATGGATTCGAACCGCATGCTTTTCGTCTTATAAAGAGCGTAATAAATTGGGTAAAGACGATCCAGAAATATTTCGATGCTAAAAATAATTCCTCAAAGATTTGTTCGGGGTGGTAAAAATCCGATATATATATATGAAAAAATATGACTTTACCTATTTTTTTTTATAAAAATTCAAATTTTGTTCTGAATGTCGTTGTCGACGACCTTTCTGGATAAACAGAACTTTTGAACCGCATAGAATGTAGAATCAATCCCCTTAACGAAGTGGTGGGATTCAACTTTTTTGTCAGCCGGTTCCATCACAAACGTCATATTTTTCGGCCGGTTCTGTTACATGTTTTTTTTTAGTAATGCTAACCGGTTCGCTGATCTCGTAAAATTCCGTGGGACGGTTCCATAGAACCGGTGCGAACCGGCTGAATCCCACTACTGCCTTTACGGTATATAATCTTAAATACTCCAAATTACAAAAGAACCCACAATAAAGTAAAGAAATGCAGGCGTTATTGACTTGAAGCAAGGCGACGAATCTTATCTTGCGAAATTCTTTAAATCGGCAATCACATTAATCTACGTTATAAATCGACATTTACCCCTTTTTTAGAGAGAAAGTGGCATCTTCGTTTCTCCTTGCGGAGACCCAGACGTGATTGCTGGACAAGGCACAATCGCGTGAGTATTGGCAGAAGACATTTGTTTTCAAATCGGCAGTAATTTATATAAGATAGGCTTTGAATACTTGCCATATAGACAACAGGTTAGAAATAGTGAAGTATATATAGCCTCAAGCGTATGAGCGCATGCCCTATTTCGTTGGATATCGAAAATCGAATGACCGTCTCTGCAAAGGACTATCGGGCTGGCATACAGATAGCAGATTAGGAATATGGATTGATATATGATCCCAAACAGTGGCGTAGCATCCACCCCCGCGGTCGCAGGAGGGCCAACAGCGCAAAGGGGCCCAAGCGGTTAGAATTTAGAAATTTAAGCCGCAAACCAAAAGCTGCAATGCAAAACAAGTAATGCACATCTTATAACGTTGATGTTAGTTCTGCTCAAATCGTTTTGTTACGTAACAATGCCAGGGAGTCGTCGATTTTCGGCGTCTTGTGGTTTGATCGCACCGGCAAAATTACGAAGGCTGTCAGAATTGATGTCGAAAGCAAAACCTCTCAGTGGCGCACAGAAACGCAGAAAAAAGGCAGAAGGGGAAGCACGTATGAAAAAAATTGAAGTAACCAAGATAAACGGCAAATTTTGCCTTTTAATAGCGACATGTTATGCTTTTTGACGAAATAAAAAAAGCGTTGTTTTCGCTTATGTCCAAGAGTCTTGCTACGCCACTGATTATTCCCAAATGCTGTTTGAATGGCCTCCCTTAGGAATATGGATGGATAAATGGCACTAGTCGCAAATTGAATGGTTTCTCCGTAGAGAGGACTATTGAGCTGTTATATATACGGTGAGCGTACATTTGAACCCATGTGTATATCCGCGGGTTCAATCTATATGCGGGTGCTAAACCCATGGGTTAGGGTTAGTATGGGTTCGAATATCCGTAAAACAAAGAAAATTTTCATAGGTGCAATGGCATGCAGGTGCAATTGTCGTGGGTTCAGATGTACGTGGTTCAAATGTAATGGAACCATATATACAGCAGGTTAGGGATAAATCGTTTGAATAGCTTTCACCGTACATGACCATCAGTAAGTAATATAGACAGTGGGGTAAGAAAAGGAATGTGACCTCGGGTAATTCAAAGCATCCATCCCTATTCTTAGCTATGGTTACATGAGCTTTCAAGAGTCGGGTGTACCAGAGTATTGTGTACTGAACTGCAGGTCATTTCTCCTTGTTTACTTTCGATCTCGGATCTGTGTCAGTTGCCACATGGATGTTAGAATGATGTAGTAATATAAAGTTTTTAATACTATTAAGAGTCATCTGTTTATTTTTTTAGATTTGAGATTCTTCAGGATCTACCAAACGTTGATGCCATATTTGTACAAGTCGGTGGAGGTGGAATGATCAGTGGAATATCTTCATATGCAAAACACGTTAACCCGAAAATTCAAGTAAGTATCGGAGTATTTTAAACAGTGTTTAAACCATGACGAGGGTTTTGCACAAAAATAGAGGTAGTCAGTGAAGGACTATTAGTTTCATTTCTTTTTGTTTCGATTGGGAGCCTTGCAGGGCTCAATATTTGTTACTCCCGAAGTATGTGAACCAAGATGGCGGACACCGGAACGTAACATGTGTACCAGGTTAGGGTTAGGCCATAATTTTATTCCAATTTTCCTTATTTTAGTTCTATTTCGAGCCAAGTGAGTCCCGTAGTATTTGTACCTGAAATTATGTCCTAACCCTAACCTGGTACACATACTACGTTCCGGTGTCCGCCATCTTGGTTTACATACTTTGTGAGTACCCAATATTTGGACCTCCTGAAGTATGCGCACCAAGATGGCGCACAACCTGAACTCAGGTTGTGTGCCAAGTTAGGGTTCAGGTTATGCGACATCTTGGTGCGCATACTTCGGAAGTACCCAATATTTTACCAAAAATCATGCTTTCTTGTGCCTGTTTCCTAATTCGCGGAAATACCATAATATCAAATTCGGTACAATTTGCTTAGCACTTGGAAGGACTTTTGCCGACATTTCGCTGTAAGTGATCATATATACATATTTTAGCATTGCTTTCTCGTTTTCTAGATAATCGGCTGTGCTCCGATAAATTCAAACGGAATGGAAGAATCAATAAAAGCAGGAAAACCAATCAATATTGAGATCAAGCATTCGCTTTCAGCTCCAGGTAGGATAAGCAACAGGACCGGCCCTTACAATTGCGAAGCATTTTGCGAAACGGATTGCGGGTCTCAGTCAGGGTCGAGATAAGAATACTAAACAACAAGAGAGCTACGCCCAAATATATGGACACGTCTGTACGCAGTACAGTACGGTTTACCGTACCGTCAGATCACAGTCTACAAATATATTAACACCAAGCGAAGCAGTATAGCAGGACACAAAATGGCGTCCGATGGCCGCAGAACGTCTAATGACATCATAGCAAACAAAAACAAATCTCACAGAGCTAACAGAAATATTTAAAATGAATAAAAGTAATAGCCTTCTGGGGAAAAATTTTATCTTCAACGACTGAAAATTTCAAAGCAATTGGTCCAGTATTCGAAGAGAAATGCGGTTTTTTAATATTTCCGCTAGGTGTGTTATTCTGTGTCAAACAACAAGAACAAGAACAACATAATATTGAAACGATCGTTATGTCCACTACGTGTCCAATAACTCAACCCTAATATTGAAAATCTCAGATGTAAATCTCAATGTAAAACGAAAGCAAGTTTATTGTGACTTTAAGTCAGCTGATTGAGCAAGAAAACTAACGCTAATTTTTCTTACGCAGGTAACATCGGTCTTGACAGCATAACGTTTCCAATATGTCAGCGTAACGTAGATCGATGGGTGAACGTTACTGAAGACGAGATTGCTGATGCCATGTATTTGATGGTGGATGTCCATTATAAGGTGGGGTGGGGTCCCGTCAAATCCAATAGAATTTTCATGTTGGTCTCAGGAAAGGCCTGCCATGCTTCCCCGAAAAATAAGACTGGGTCTTATTTTAATTTTTGTTCAAAAAATAACACTAGGGCTTATTTTGGGGGGATGTCTTTTATTTTCATTTATCAAAAACAAAGTTACAAAGAAAAGGATAACGAGATTTTCAATTGTACAAAATATGAAAACCGTTATTTATTCATTTATAAATATTATCTTCGGGGTAGGTCTTAATTTCGGCGAACCCGGTAGGAGTCGGTTTAATCATGCGGTGGAGCACGCATTTCACCTCTCTGTGGTTACTAGTCCATGACGAGCATGGATAAAGTTAACCAGTTTACTGCCAGTTCACCCTTTTTTTTTTCAAGAACTTGGGAACTTCGGTTATGGAAAATTCCTAACATCATAACTACTTATCACTGGTACTCGATGATTTTACTTAGAGATGAGTTTTGTTTACTTCTCAGTGAGTAACCTTTTTTGAGCAAAATCTTTTAAATTTTTTTTATTTTTGCAAAGGTTGTTGAAGGAGCGGCGGGGTGCGCTCTGGCATCGTTCCTGAAGGTCAAAGATGATTTCAAAGGTCAAAATATTGCAATTGTCATATGCGGAAGTAACGTTAGCCCCGATATTTTAAAGAAGATTATCGACAAGAACTTATGAGTGAATTGTTCATCGAAACGATGAATTGAAAGGACAGAAGCTGTCCGCGCCGAGGGAGTGGAAATGCATCTAGATACTGCTGACCAATTATATTGCAATGCGTTTTTCATACTTTATTATATTTTGACGAGTCGAGCAACGACAGTCACACTAGATACCTAGTAAATAAATACCTAAGTACCTAATAAATACCTAGCCTATTGGCGACAACTTCTCTTTTCAAGAATGGAAAAACTTAAATAAATTGCTCCATTAAAATTAAGCAATTTATTTTTCACCACAAAAGATCGCCCCAACAACAACAATAATTTAGAGAACAATTTATATGGCTGTTTATGGTCCAAAAATAGAGCATTGCAGCGGTGGAGTTTATCAATATTTTTTAATGGTGCTGAAATTAGCGTAGTTTTGTGCAATGATCAGTTAAAATGCTCTTAATACGTCATAGCGGGAACAATATAAAATTAAATAGGACTGGATAAGATTTACATATTTATCCCGGGGGAGAAGAAAGCTGATAATACAGCTTATCCATATGGCGAACCACGGCCTCTCGTCCGTTTACCAGTCCATGTCGGGTATTAGATTAGTTTTAGTTATTTGTTTTTGGGAAGCATGGACTTGCGAGGCGGGGAGTCCAGCAATTCTCTCGCACATAACTGCCCCGCATGGGATTCGAACCTGCGAACCCGCGCAGGGTAATCAAAGATGCGGTGGCGAGCGTATTCCTAATGCTTAGCACGATGAGCCACACCGCCGCACCAAATGTTCGACAGTTTCGTTTTCCAAGCAAGTGTCGCAAAATCAATTGATCGAATTTAGAAGGTTTGGAATGTTGTTACAATTTGGAAACCCAATATTTTTTTTAAAACTGTCGACCTAATCTTTGCGTGCTCGCCATTGATGCTGTTTGATCTCTTCACTGTGGTTGTTAGATCAAAAAAATCAAGATTCCGAATTGGTTATTTACTGAAAACAGTAACTTGAAAATGCAGAAGGGGAAAAGCTATTTTTATTGACACTGACAAGTAAATGTATATAACTGACTTAGTCATCTACCGAAAACTTTAGCATATATATGTTGTTTTATTCTTACCGTGTTTCCCCGAAAATAAGACAGTGTCTTATTTCAATTTTCTTTAGAAAATAACACTAGGGCTTATTTGAGAAAATGTCTTTTAGTGTTGTTTTGCTTTATGTCAGGGAACAAAAATTAAATGATTGATTTTTAACCAAAATATGACATAAGAAGCAGAAAAAATGACCAGAAAGCGGCCGATGCCCAGCCTAACGGAGAGATCGCGCGTAAAACACTGCTCGTACCCGTGCGGAATTGACAAGGTCGATATTGGGCTCAAGTCGAATGTATCCTGTTCCAAAGGATTCAGAACCTTTATAAAATGGAGAAACCAACTACAACATCTGTGAGGCTCAAAACAATATATATATGTATTCATGAATTCCCTTTTCAGTTTTAAAATTTTTCAAGGTATAATGAATACCCGGGGCTCCCGAAGTATGCGAACCAAGTTGGCGGACATCGTAATGTAACATGTGTACTAGGTTCGGGTTAGGCCATAATTTTAGGTATAAATACTACGGGAGACTCTTGGCTAGTCTTCGAACTGATAATAGGACTAAAATAAGGAAAATTGGAATAAAATTATCGTCTAACCCTAGCCTGTTAGTTTGTTACCCATGTTACGTTCCGATGCCCGCCATCTTGGTTCGCATACTTCGAATACCCTATATTGTTGCAGATTGTATTTGTTTTGGGGATTGTTGTTGCGGAGAATCACCCGCTTTTTTCCGCAACTATCGGGCCAATCTGTTTCGGTACCTGAAACCGCTGTTATTCCTTCCCTTTGCACTTGTAGATCTATATAAACAGCATGAAGACGGCTATTTTATACTGTTGGAGTCGCACATTAAGACAAATACCTATTTCTGTACCAGATCAATTGACCTTATTGCATTTGAGGAAGTGATTACTTCCGGTTACCAACTCCACAACTATATCGATCCTGCTTTGTTTTTAATCGTTGCAGACAATCACTCTTGACATGCTCGTTAGCAAAGCTACTAGTGTGTGTACCAGGTTAGGGTTAGGCCATAATTTTATTCCGATTTCCCTATTTTAGTTCTATTACGAGTTCGGGGAATGTCTGTGTTAGCCAAGTGAATATCCCCCTGCCCATAGGTTTCAGTCCCTTTACTCAACTTGATGTAACGTGGGCGCACAAAATTGGTTACCTCCATATAGGCACACACACTTCTGGAGCGCCCATAAAGTGTAATAGGTACCAAATAGACCAGAGTCCAGTAGAAATGAGTTGCTTGCGATCGTGATGCACGCTCATCAATATTTTCATACGATAGGTTCTTTTCAATAGGACCATTCTTGTGAGTTTGTGAAAGGCGTTGTTTTTAGTGAATTAGCAAATATCTAGGACTGAAATTTGACCGAGTAAAATTTCGCAGGCGTGAAAGAATGGAAACTATATTCCTAAGCAGTGGCGTATCTAGGGTGTGGCAGCCATGGCTCGTAAATGGGAGCTGTTCAAACTGGGGCGCATAAACGTCGAAAAGTTTTAATCGTAATATGTTTCAATAAAATAATTTCAAATTGGAGACAACTGAAACACGCATTTTCACTTGAATAATAACGTACAGGTAGGGCGTTTCAATAACAGTCTTTATAAATCGTTAACCAACTATCAAGGGAGCGCATTTTTCATCTTTGCCATGGGCGCGTATTTCAAGTTCCTAAGCTATACTCATGCAAGTCGTATAATTAACCGTCTTATCGCTTTTTGTTACCACACACTGAT